TCAAATTTTTTTTTCTTTCTTGCTATTGTTTCTAACATATTTATAAGATGATTTCTATGTTGCTTTATATGTCCCTCCCCCACGGTATAATCCCTGCTTTCACTGTATTTGATGTTGGCATAATTTGTGGAGGGAAAGGGCAAAAACAAATCCTTTAACTAGGGATACAATGGTGGACCCATTGCAACAATGAGATGTTACAAAAACAAATCGTTTAACTAGGGATACAATGGTGGACTCATTGCAACAATGAGATGTACAAGTTGTTATGCTGAAAAATGAACTTGGGGGGGGAGGATCGGGTGGGGGAAGGTGGGGGGAGTATGGGAAGGGATGGGAAGGGGAAACAAGGAGGAGGCAACAATGCTTGATAAGAATTGTACTCGTTATCTTGCCCATGTAATTGTAACTCTCTGTACAGTATTCTCACAATTAAAAAAAAAAAAAAACCCACCAAGGAAAGAATTAAAAAAAAAAAGTCATGTCCAACAAGTATTGAAACTAATATGTGACAGCTTTTGAGAAATAGAAGGGAGCCCTGATAAGAAGCAAAGCTTCACTGGAACTGGACTCAGGAACATTGACCATTGTTTCCAGGGGTGAAACACCAAACTTATAATCCTAACACATCTTTGTACTGGATAATACTCAATTATAATGTCAATACTATACATTCATTTCCATCTTGTAAACTAACCTCTAAACAAAACCTAGAACTTAATGTTATTCAACAGAACATTATAATGGTAACAATATAAAATTGAAGGGGACGGGAGGGGTTCCATTGGCCTGCTCTGGGGGACAGTATAGCAAGATCGACGGAGCCAACCAGTTCTACCACTTACAATCTGGTAAGGTAACCTTGTACAAGTTATGTAACTGCTATCAGACTGTTTCGGCCTCTGAATAATGGTAAGCATATCTATTCCATAGGTCTGATCTGAGGATGAAATAAATTAATACATATAAAGGGTAGACCCATCTCATACCAGTAAGATTCAACCATTTAATAGTATCCAATACTAGCAGTTATGAAATGCTGCCTCACTAGAGTAAAAATAAAACAAAAGGGACCATTGTTTTCAACTGGAAGAGGAAAGAGCAAACTTCAGTTGATTAAATATGTCCCAGTTTCTCAGAAGCTTAATGAATGAGGTCTCAAGTTGACAAAAAACTGGCAGTATTTGTACTATAGTTAGGGAGTTATATAGATATAGCATTAAAAACACTGAAAACAGGGCTGGGAAGGTGGCTCAGTGGTAGACCGCTTGCCTTGCATGCATAAGGCCTTGGGTTCAATTCCTCAGCACCACATAAGCAGAAAAAAAAAAAAGCCGTTAGCGGCACTGTGGCTCAAGTGGTAGAGCGCTAGCCTTGAGCTGAAGAGCTGAGGGACAGTGCCCAGGCCCAGAGTTCAGGCCCCACGACCAGACCTCCCCCCCCCCAAAACAAACAAACACTGAAAACAGAAATAGTTATATATATATTGTCTCTTAATCGAATAATTATATCATTATTCTTTCAAAAATAATAATTTGGCAAAAAAATTAATTCTGAGCTGAAACTCTAAAAGCAGCATGAACATATCAAGCTGAATTATTCTTTTACAAGATTGCCTCACACTTGCTGGAGCAATAGCAAAGCCACACCTCTTAACAGCAAGACTCAATCCTTGGAGAAGTCGAATATTAATGCTTTATGTCACCTTTCAAATTCTACAGAAATGACACTGGCCTAGAGCCCACTTTATCCAAGCTCCTGTGGCTGTGTCTGAAGCTCCAGTATGTGGCTTGAACTAGCAGGGAGGGCCAGTCTCCCCCAAAGACTGCTATATGGGTTGTAGTTTCACATTTCTTTTCAATGATAACCGTGGACCATTCGGTATCTCAGTGATGCATTCTTCCCCACCTCTTAACATTCCTTCCTATGATGCTCAAATCTCCATTCTTCCCAAAGTACATCTTATGAAAATATGTTAGATGAACACAAGAGGAACTACAACACCAAAGATAATTAGACCTGCACCTAATGTGGTTGGTGTTTATCTTAGTGGAAGTACTGGTCCACTTTCCCCTATATAAACCTGTCTTATGTACCAGAACTATCTCAATGCTACCGAGCTCCTTCTGTCTGTCAGGTTCTGTGCTGAGAGGTGACAATCTCCTTTGACACATAAACTAGGTAACATTTAATACATTCTATGATACTGCACCAAGTATGTTGGACAGGTAAAAGGAGAACAACAGGGAAAGAGGAGAGTATAAGACTTTTTCAAGAAATCGGCCAGGAGCTGGGAATGTGGCTTACTGGTAGAGTGCTTGCGTAGCATGCACAAAGCCCTGGTTCAATTCCTCAGCACCACATACACAGAAAAAGCTGGAAGTGGCGCTATGGCTCAAGTGGTAGAGAGCTAGCCTTGAGCAAAAAGTAGCTCAGGGACAGTGCTCAGACCCTGAGTTCAAGTCCCAGGACTGGCAAAAAATAAAAAATTAAATTAAAAATAAAAAATTCAAAAAATAGGCCAGCAAAACTGGCATCCTAGAGAAAAGCACAGTATAGATAAAGGCAAGGTAAAGCTGGGTACCAGTGGCTCGTGCATGGAATCCTAGGAGGATTACTCAGGAGGCTGAAAGCTGAGGATTGAAGTTGAATGCCAGCCACGGCAGGAAAGCCCCTGAGATTCTTCTTTCTACTTGACTCCCAAAAGGTTGGAGGTAGAGCTGGGCCTCAAGTGGTAGAACTCCAGCCTTAAGTGAAAAAACGAAAGCACCCAAGTCCCATGTGCAGGCCCTAGTACCAGCACCAAAAAAGAAAACAAGGTAAAGAACAGAAGTAGAAATAATTGTTAAGAGGAATTGGCAAGCGACAGCTCGAGGAGGCAGGAAAGGACCTGATACTAGGTCTTCATGATATGCTAAAGAGCATGTATACTGTAAAGTTTTAGGGGTTATTGAACAATTATAAACAGCAGAAAACATTTGGTTATGGAAGCTCTCCTTAGCTATATCCCTACATATCCATGGATGAATAGAGGCTATCTATGAATAAAGGTTATAGAGGATGAACAGATGGACAAGACCAGTTTGGAGATTCATTGGACACTTTGCCAAGTTCTAAACCCAAGCAAAGTCTCTTCTTACTGAAGCCATCATTGAAGGAGGTACTTCCAGCTCACTTCCTTACATGGGGAGTTCTGAGACTCTAAGGTCTCAGAATGGCAAAGCCTTGCACACAAGTGCAACCTGGAATTGCCAGGAACTCAAATCATGGTGCTGGCATGGGAACCGAAAGCTGAGAGCAACCCTCCTACTTTTCACACGCCACGTGGAAACTTCCCACAGAACTGAGCAACTGTGGCCAATCCCGCTGAGCAATGTTAACTTTCCCTCCTTCTGTTTCTCTTCAGCATGGACAAGCCCAAGAAACCTGAAGAAAAGACTGCCTTGGATCCTGCTTTTGTGAAACTGAAAGGGACAGGGTAACTCTAGGAGAGTCACATGTGCCTGAAATAAAGCATGGTACTGCGAATGGAGTCGGGAGACTGGATCGATGCCTAGGATCTTCAAAATGCCCACAAGGATGAAGACGAGAGGTCAGCCTACCTGGCCTATCTGGATGACTCCTCCCAGGTCTGGCTCAGGTGACAAGGTAGACAGTTGTGTCAAAGAAAGCCAGAAAAAGGCGAAATGACAGTGGAGGGAAAAAGGGCTATTTCTATTCTTAAAAAAAAAACAAAAAACTGATTTTTAGTGTTTTATATGTTTCTAGAATACTTTTATTACGGAGCATACAGAAATTTGGACATGCAAAACTAATGAATGTCTTCGTTTTATATACATATATACACTAGTCCAGTGAGTCTGCAAAATGCAGAGAATATATATATCAAAATCCTAGAGCAGGTAGATAATGATGAAAACTAGAAGCATATCCTTTAAAATAAATAATTTCCTATTTTTTTTATTTTATTGCTAGTGTATATGCAACACTTTTTCCAGCTTCCTACTTTATCGCAGTTCTTACCTTGGAAAATGCCACCCTTTGAGGAAAATCATGTCTCCACTTTCAAGCAAATGATAAATATTTTCATGTTTTCCATTTTCTTGTCAGAAAAAAATGCATGCATACATACACATAAACACAAAATTTACCTAAAATCGGAAACCCACTACCCCATTCTGTAGGTTCCAGATTTTCAAGTTCTGTACCAGCTGGATGACGGTGGCTCATACCTGTAATCCTATTCAAGAGTGTGTGATCTGAGAATCCCCGTTTGAAGCCAGTCCAGACAGAAAAGTCCATGAGACCGTTATCTCTGATTAATTACCAAAAAGTTGCAAGTGGAGGTGTGGCCCAAGTGGTAGAGCACTATCTTTGAGCAAAAAAAAAAGCTCAGGGACAGCGCCCAGGCCCCAAGTTCAAGCCCCAGGACTGGAAGCTAGATTTAAAATAGAATTGGATGTAACTCATACAGAACTCTAGGCATTCATACACAGACCAAAGGAGGATACCTTAGGGGAGGAACCCCAAGGTATGTAACTCCTCTGAACATTTAAAGTACTACTTATCAAAACTAATTGCAGGAAATGGAAACATAGGTTTTGGTGCTGGCAGTGATGGTTGTGGTGTGTTTTTCACTTTTCTTCTTTGTAAAGGGGCACAAAAAAGGAAGGAGGAAGAATGAACAAATGCAGTCATGGTATTCAGTCAACACTACATGAAAAATGCAACTGTGAGCTAGAACCGGAGGGGGAAACTAGGGAAAAGTGAAGGAAGGGGTGACACTGTCCAAAAAGTACATATTACCTTGACTTCCGGATGTTACAACACCTAATAACAATAAAATTATGTTCTATAAAAATAACTCCCATATCAGATAGCCCAGGAGACAAAATGCTCTTTAGATTTAATAAAGAAATAAATAAGCCAAATACAAAGTAGAGCAGAGAGGTTAATGAGGCATTCACACATCTGTGAGAATTCATCTGAAGGAATTAAGACACTGGGAAGTTTTCTTGGGTTTGAACATTTATTTACAAGGTTTTTAGCTAATGTAACTATTTTTAAAATACAACAAAAAATTCATTTACTAATATCTGAAGCAGCACATACATAGTATAAAAAAAAGAAGCTATAGTCACTTAAACTATTAATGCAGGTAACTGAAAAATGCCCAACAATGAAATATTTGCAGTATCCCATAGGAAATTTAAAAAAAAACACATATTCCCAGAAGCTTGATTATTTTGTATCATCAACTACAAAAATACTATTGGAAATGGTAACATCAGACTTTGGAAGATACAACAGTAAATTTCTAATATTAAGACCACAATAAAATGTTACCACACATGTATATCTATGTACTTCACAGCAGATCATAATGCTAATGGTAAATTTGGAATGATTTCATAAAGAGATAAATAATCTTTACCACCATTTTCCATGGTCTTATCCTTTGAAATAAATTCCAATATAGTATCAAACCAAATCAAGATTTGCTAGTGGCTAAAATCCCCCAAAATATACTCACTGAAACAGATATAAGCTTATACTCATGTCTTGCTTTTACAAAATATACAGTTTTTTATAACTTTTCTTTCCTTATCTCAGTTTGTAACAATATGTTCAAACAATCTTATTTAAATGTTATACTTGTTAATAAAGGCAGAATTTAAAACCCACATGCTGGATCTTGAAAACATCTGAGACCAACTGAAAAAGAGCAGTTAAATACATCAAACAGTGTATTGAATGAAGTAAGGCCTCATTATTTAATCAAGAATCTCTGCAGGTTTTTATCTAGTAAGTATAATAATATCACTTAATCTCTGCACAAATGGAGATACACAAATATGTACTTCCATAAACATTCACGGATACTATACAAACAGAATCACAGTAGTATTTGACACCACCAGTAAAATTTATACCAAATAAATTTTACTATCAGGAGTTACAAAGCTACTGATACAATGAATAATAAATTACTGGTCTTCAGATGAGAATGTGAGCAAAAAGATAAATTACATCAAAATCAACATATTTTTTACATGAATTTCAAAAAATTTTCAAGAAGAAAATCAAATAACATAGTTTAGTGTTACTTATCTTCTTTCTAGCTTTCACCAAGTGCTAACACAAGTACCATTTAAGTCAGCTTCTTACTAGAGTATGAGGTGTTTATATATGCCTGTAATTTAAGATTTCTAAAGTTTCATATCAGATGAGTTGTGGATCTACTTAAAGTATGACTTCTCCTTTCAAAGAAGGAAGGAAGGCTGACAAGAGACGGAGACGGAATGCCCTGTAAAGACAAATATTTTACAATTAAAATTTTCCTTAAAAAACAAAAAATAAATTCCCCCCCAAAACCCATAACGTATAGTTCAGGAAGAAACGTCCTACTGATAATAGTGATGCTTAACTTTCTTCAGTGAGAAATTTTGTTGAGTAAGCAAGGTATATAAAATAAGTTCCAAGTCTTTGAAAAAAGAAAGGAAAAAACTAATGGTTTCTTCTTCCTCTTCCTCCTTCTCCTCCTCCTTTTTTGGGTGCTGGTGCTAGGACCTGAATTAGGAGCCTAGGAGCTGTCCTTGAGCTTCTTATACTCAAAGCTAGTGCTCTACTATTTGTGCCACAGCTCCACTTGCAGTTTTTTTTTGAGTAGCCCAGCCTCAGACCTTAGCTACTGAGTAGCTAGGATTGCAGGTAGGCACCATTGGGGTCCAGCTCTAATGATCTCTTATTGATTCATAAAGAGAAGTGAAAATCACTTCATTGGAGATAACTTTCTAAAATTAAGAAATTAATTTCCAACCACAGTTTGTATTATATATGCAACTTATATTTATGTGTCTACATATTATGTGCAATTTTGCTCCATATGAGTAAAACAGGAGCCCTTATTATAAAGCTGAGCTATCTAAATTCTTGTTTCAGAAGTCAGTTAAAACATGATCAGTAGTTTAAAAACAAAAGAAACATGAATATAAAAACCTAAGAATATATTAAAATGAATTATAAGACTCTGCTACTATGACCACACTTAGTGCCAACAAGGCAGCTGACTGTAAGTAAATTCTCACCAATGGAGAAAAATGAACTGGTCAAAGAGATAAAAGTAAGATCAAACAAGTGACAAAACAATGATATTTATACAGGTACAAAGCTTACATATGTTTACATAAATACTGTTAAGTCTAAAATTAAAAATCTTATTTGGAATGCAAATTTACATAAGAATTTTGTGAAATTTCTCTAAATTTCCTAAATAAGAATTTCTAATGGAATTTACTTTTCTGGACTGAAAAGAGTAATTGCTTTGCAAAAATATAGTAATATAAAAATATATTTACTGATGGGCTGGGAAGGTGGCTCAGTGGTAGAGCGCTTGCCTTGCATGCCTGAGGCCCTGAGTTCGAATCCTCAGCACCACATAAGCAAAAAGAAAAAAGCCGGAAGTGGCGCTGTGGCTCAAGTGGTAGAGCTCAAGCCTTGAGCTGAAGACCTGAAGGACAGCGCCCAGGCCCAGAGTTCAGGCCCCACGACTGGACCCAAAAAAAAAAAAAATATATATATATATATATACTGAGCAATATGCAAAGAAACTCTTTGACCTAAACAAGTTACATTTAAAGCAATAAAGTTGTGAATTCAAAAATCCCAACCCCAGTGGTGCTGTGGCTCAAGAGGTAGAGCGCTCACCTTGAGCTGAAGAGCTCAGGGACTGCACCCGGGCTCAGAGTTCAAGCTCAATGACAACAACAACAACAAAAATCCCAACCTGCCAACACCCCCCCCCCCCCCCAATAAGCTGAGTCAATGGAGAAAGAACATTTCCATTTCTTTCCATAAATACACATTTCAAATACTAATAAGCTCCCAATAAACTTCACGAGGCTTGTTTCTATTATTGCTTGGCATATCTCCTAATTCTTCACAAATGTCAAAGATGACTTTGATATACTTTTTTTAATTTGAAAAAAAAAATCAATATTTCCTTCTAGTAACTTTGAAAAAACTAGCTCAAAAGGCAGAATGATGTATAGATCGAAACCATGAATGCTGAGGGTGCCCACCAGTAGAGTCTGAACACTGAACATAAACACGCTTAGCAAATCCAATTACTCAGCTTGTGGAAACAGAATAGGTTATCCGTCAGAATAGAAACAAGCAATTGAGAAGAGGACATGAATGTCTCAAAAGATATTTTATGTTTTATGTACATAGTTTACATAAAATAACTACAAATAACTAATTCATTTTCTAAAAAAATTTCTATAAAATGCCTTTCTTTGAAGACTGTTTATAATAGTTATTATAGACTTTTTTTTAAAGTATTTTGATCTTGACAAAGCCTGTAATTTAACAAATGGATATTTATCCGCATTTTGTAAGCCAATTTGATGGATTAAATTACTTTGTATATATTTCTATAAGTACAACTGCTTTCTCATTGGTTTAGCCTTGATTCTTAAAAATCTATCAAGCATACTCATAAATTTGTCTATAATCTTTTGATGCGCTAACTGAAAATGTTTAACTAGCTTTTAAAAAATATTTACTGAATATTACGTGCTTTGTTTGTATAAATTTTCTATTATATAAAAGGCTACCACTGATTACACACTGGAGTTCCCACATGTGCTAGTAAGCACTTACGTGCTAACTCATTTCATCCTCACAGCTACTTAAACCCATTTTACAGATGGAGAAATTACAGAAGTATATGCAATAGCATGCCAAAAAACAGAGCCACGAACAGCAAAGCATGTCTTGAAGATCTAGGTTCCAAGAGTTCCTATTCTTAATTCCCATTCAAATTACTACTTGACCTATATGAACATCATAACACACACATGATTTTATGTATAATTCAGTTCTTATACTAATAGGCTAAGAACTGCTGACATCTTTTCTCATTGGTGAAAGGTAAAAGAAGAAGCATGCTGAAGGGAACACAGCTAAGAAGTGACAGTTTGCTTTTCTTATCCTACTGGGCTAATAAAACATTAACAAAAAGAGACATATCATTCCTATACTCGATGACAATAATACATGTCAGAAATTCCCTTATCTAATAATTATGAGTTGTGCTGTGGATTACCCAGAAAGTGTCTAAAACATAGACACAAATTTAGAATCCATATAATCCTCTAAAATTCAGTTTCAGAGACGATAATCCATTCATCAAAGAAAAAGTAAAAGGAATAATCTCAGTCAGTTATTGAAACCTATCTATATAAACAGAACCATATAAATATACATTAGTAAAGTGATCCAGATTGGAAGGGTTCTTTTCATCAGGATGGTAGAACATATATGAACCCCAGTAAAATCCCATACTGAACGAACTACATATTAAGTGTATCTCCAGTTAATGTTTTAGTTGCTTTAAATCAATAAAATTTAAAGATCTGATACATTAAAAAAAACATTGGGAGACATTAGTGTCTCCTTTTCAAAACAGTTAAATTCTCTATCAAGTCCATAAATATGTTTAAGTCTAGTGCATTAAAACACTTACTGCTAGTGATGACGTGCTAGACAGACGACTCAAAGTGTGCTTATCAGGACTTCTTCCCTCTGCCGAGCTATGGGCTGGCATCAGGGCCAATCGGAGAGCTCTCCTTGGAGTTTTGGAAAAAGAGAATGCTCTTGTGACCTACAGTTAAAATGAGTTGTAATTTGTTAAGGTAATACAAATTCAACACAGTCCATGAGACATTATTTTCTACAAGCAGAGTGTGCAGAACTTCCCATGATATAACAGTAAGAAAATACAGGATGCTGTAGAATACTGTGCATTTAGATAGTGTTGAAGTACACTGGAAGGAAGAAAGGGAGAGAAAAAAAGCTGGCCTGGGAGACAAGAAACCTGGATTCTTTTTAAGTTTTCTCTTTCTCTTTACCTTTTTTGAATTTGGCAGTGCTCAAAATTGGTCAACCTAAGATTCTTACCTGATTTTGTTAAGAACAGTTGTAAAATCATTCATCTCAAAGCACTAGTACCTCAATTTCTTTACTGAAAATGAAGTCATTCCTTAATCTTCATTCAATAACTTTATCTACTATACATGTTAAATGATGGGAGGGGGGATAATGTAAGGCCTTGCCTTCAAAGGGAAATCAAACAAAACAAAACTTGTAAACCTACCCAAACTACATGGCTACAAATTTCCCTGAACACTACAATTCTACTTCTTTTTCTAAAAAGCCCTATTACCAACACACTTATACAGTCCTCAGCAAGTCCAATGAGACAAGGAAGGAAGAAGACGGAAACCCACTTGTAGTGCCAGGAATGGATCAGATCTCTTACTTCACTGTGTCCTTTGCTGAAAAGATGAGATGCTATTTAAGATGAATGTGACACATCTAGATGTGATGCACCAACACTACATTACTATTGATCTGCTGTGCACAACATCACAGAAACAAGAATGAAAGGCACAGTTCACTACCAGAACCTCCGCCACAGGACAGCACTGAACTAAACCATTTTCTCTGTAGACCACTTCCTAGAACCAAGGAGTAGCTTTAACCCTGTATACACTGTCTTTACATTAGAGTTTATAGCAAAATTAGTTTCATATAATACCAAAAAGCACACTTTAGAGATATATGAAATAACTGCCCTAAAACTCACCTTCTTTGAAGTCTTTTTGATGGCTCTGGATGCTCTACTCAGCGTACTATCCATATCTTTTGTATTTACCTCAAAGGATTCTGGGTCAGCAGTGTAAATAAGGTTCTCCTGTTGAAAATTATACATCATTAATTTTTTTTAAGTACCAACTGATTCTAAATTCAAACCTATGTAAACAAACACAAACATACATACACTCACAATTTATAAATAAAGCTACTCAAATCTGTGATGCACTTCACAAAATTGCTACAATGAAATGCACCACTTTTATTGTTTTGAACTGTACTACTTTAAGGATAGTACACGATAAGTATTCAAAGTGAGTAATTCACAGAAAGAATCATGAACACCAAGACAAGGGGAATGAATATGCATCAATATAAACTCTTACTAATAACCATAAAACCAATCAGTTACAAAGTTACAAGATTTAATGCTTAGGTATAAAGACTACTACAAAATCAGTAACAAAAGCACTTTCCCTAAGAAAATCTGAAGCTGAAATTCAGACTTTTTTCTACTTTTCATTCCTTCCTGAGTTTGCATCTGAAAAGATCCCAAATGAGACTTAACTTGGGTGAGGCAGGCCTGGTGTACATACCTGTAATCCCAGCCCTCAGGAGACTCAAACAAGACAATGTAAATTCAACCCTGTGTCAAATTTTAAAAGGAGTTCCTGAGTAACACAGGTGTATAATACACAACTGCCTTGAAATGTACAGAATTTTATGTGAACATGTACTCAGTACTTTTTCCTGAGAGAGTTTCAGTTTCCATTGCTTTCTAGGAAAGTCAAAAACCTCATCAAAGACAAGAATCACCTGCTAAATTTAACCTTTAGATTTAACAAGATAATCAAGCAAAACAAAGTATTACTTGTCAAATTGAGTTGATTTTCAAAAGGAAATGAATGAGACAAAAATCTTTATGCATATGCCTATAAACAACTTTCCCTTGAAATGTACAGATCTAGCGTGTCAGCTGTTACACTGCCCCAGTCCTCTTACACTGTATTCTGTGGCCAGAGAGAATTTAACAGAGCCTTGTGAAAAGTGGGTTTGTCTGAAACTTCTCTCATATACAAAATGGAGTAAATACCTAAGCTCGCCTACAGAAGTTATACGGCTAAAAGAAGATAATACCCAGAAGTACTACGCTGAAGGGAAATGTGAAGCCTTTTTATAAACACAAAGTGGTAAATTATAAATGCCTGTTTGCTCTCTACCACTGACCACCACATAAGACAGACTCAGTTTGCTACAAGTTCTCTAATTTCTTCATTAGAACCACCATATGCTAAATGACTTCTGGGCTAATGTAATCCTAGCCAGGTAATAGTATTTACTTCTAATTGTCAATAATACTTCTTACTATTTTTACAGTTAAAAAGATTTGGGAAGACACACATTGAAAATTATATAAATCCCTAACAACTAGCTAGCTAGTATCTAAGTTTTTATATTCTTACAGGTATTTGCTTACATGTAAAAAAAAAGTTGTTTGTTGGAAAAGGTGAAAGAGAACAATGGAAGGGGTAACACTGATCAAGATGCATTATACTTATAAAACTGATTTGTTGAATTCAAACCCCTTTCTACAACTACCTAGAGAGTAATAAAGACAGTCATAAAAGCAAAAAAAAAAAAAAAATACTAGCTTTGTATCTTAGGTTTTTTCAATCCTGTATAACGTTATTTGTTTCCTAGACATTAAATTCTAAAACAAAGGCTGGGTGCCGGTGGCTCACGTCTGTAATCCTAGCCCTCAGGAGTCTGAGATCCGAGGATCATAGTTCAAAGCCAGCCCAGAAAGTCTGTGAGACTCTTATCTCCTATTAACCACCAGAAAACTGGAAGTGGCACTGTGGCTCAAGTTAGGTAGGGTGCTCTCCTTGAGCTGAAGAATTCACAGACAGCGCCCAGGCCCAGAGATAAAAAAAAAAAAAAAAATCTAAAAAATATATAGTTTTATACAAGCATTAAGAATATATAAGAATTATATATATATTATATTTGGGATATACAACATATTATATAATATAGAAATTATACATAAAGAATTATATCCACAAGATATATATATTTACATATACATATATATATATATATTCCTAATGAATAGTTGATGTGTCTTTTCTGATTATACCATTTCCTAAGGCAGAACATTAGAAATAGAGAAACATTCAGGTGCTGGAGGCTTACACTTGTAATCCCAGCAACTCAGGAGACTAAGACTTTGAGGATCATGGCTCTAAGCCAACTTGAGCAGAAAAGTCTGTGAGACTTCATCTTCAACTAAACAGTAACATGCTAGACTGCAAGGATGGGACCAAGTAGTAGAGCACCAGCCAAGAGCAAGAAAGCATCAGATCCAAGTTGTGCATACAATACATACAATAAACATCTAATATGGTTTGCAAATTTCACCTATATTTTTAAAAACTAATAGTAAGGTATATTTTCTCCATGTTCTCTGACTGTTAATACTTTCTTATTGTGAATTATTTCTTCATATACTTAGCCTATTTTTTGTATTGGAATATTAGCATTTTTCTAATGTAATTATGAATATGGTTTAAAGAAATAATTGGTCAGAGGGAAAGAATGATGGAAAGGATGACACTGAGCAAGATGTATAATACTCATAATTGACAGATTAATAAGATCTACAGCTAAACTCACAAAAGAATGTTTTTTTCATGTAAACACATTTCCATCATCCTGTTTTTGCTTTGTCTCTAAATTACAAAAAATTACAAAGCAATTTGCCAATGCTTTTTTGAATTGGGTCAACTTACACTTAAAAACTGAAAGCTGAAAATTTCAATGGAATTAGCTAGAAAATTACTTAAAGCTGTATGAGAATTTATTTAAAGTGACTGGCTAAAAAATTAACATTCAGTCTGGCAGGCATGGTGTTATATGTCGGCAATTCCAGCACATGGAAGGCTGAAGCAGGACAGTATCTCTAAGACCAGTCTGGGAGATAAGTTCAAGGCCAGCCTAGACTATATAGTGAGATCCCACCTCAACAATACAAAAGAGAGAGAGAGGGGCTGGGAAGGTGGCTCAGTGGTAGAGCTTTTGCCTTGCATGCATGAGGCCCTGAGTTTGATTCCTCAGCACCACTTAAGCAAAAAGAAAAAAGCTGGAAGTGGTACTGTGGTTCAAGTGGTAGAGCGCTAGCCTTGAGCTGAAGAGCTGAGGAACAGCACCCAGGCCCAGAGCTCAGGCCCCACAACTGGACCCAAAAAAAAAAAAAAAAGAGAGAGAGAGAACTACAACCTAATATATAGATAGAATTTGCATAAATTAATAATAAGATAAGCAACATCAATTTACCACAGTATTATATAGAGGAAATTGCCTAGGGCTAACCTAATAAATGCACATTTTCAAAGAAACTTTATTTATGGCTTTATTTCTGGAAAGATAGTCATGCTTCTGAAAGGAAAACCACTGGGACACGGGTATGAGACCTAATTCAGTGCATTTCATTTTTCTCTGATGTGCAAATATTATTTTCCAACTTAAAGAGTGAAAGTGATAGCATAGCTAAAAAGCTAAAATACTGGTAGACTTAAATTTACTCCTTAAATACCTAGAATGCAAAATATATCAATTATATATATCAATTATATATAATCTAAACTCCTAGGGCACCAATTTTGGTAATATAAATTACACATATTTAGACAAACTTTCTTCAATATAGGAAAAATATTCTCAGGACACTAATGCAATGCTTTCTATAAAGTTACTATGCATGAACTCTCTTTTGTTTGCTTTTCATGTAGCCTTGGGGCTTGAATGAAGGGGCTTGTGTTTGCTAGGCAGGTGGTGTTGCACTTTAGCCACCCTGCCCATCCTGTCAAGTCTTAAATGGATGAAAGGACTCAACTGAAAGTCAGTGAATATCTGAATTTATAAACAAATCATTTTTCATTACTTTATTTTTCAACTGGCACACATTTTTAGTATGAAGGGTTTATTATATATTTCCATTCGTGCACACAGGGCACTTTGAACAAACTCACCTTCTCTCTACCATATTCTCATTTCCTCCCATCCATCTCCCCCCACCTCTTTTCAAACAGCATTTGGTGGGGTCCATTATGCAGCCTTCATGTATATAAAGAACTCTAAAAGTAACATTTTCACAGCCTGAAATTATTTTGTGGTGTAAGAAAAAACAGAACATGAATATTTGCCGCCATCTGGTGGACAATACTTTATAAAATTCTTGCATTTTTGCTTATATCTTATTCTCATGTTGTTATCTTAGAATTTTCAGTAGTTTTTTTGTTGTTGTTGTTGTTTTTTGTTTTAAGTTTACATTTCAGTAGTGGGGTTATAAATCTGGAAAGGCCAGTTTAAACCCTCGAGTCTCACATCCTCACAAATGCAGAGGTCATTGCTACAACACTAAAAGAAAACCTCTTCTATACATGTATACCAGTCACTGTGAGAAAACATTCCTCCTTAAAACGACTAGCTCTGGAAGCTTCTGGCACACTGTTCTCCATCATTTTTTTATTTTGCCAGCATATGCTTATGTTTTCTACCATTGCTTCCCTCTATGAACCTTTTTGTGGAACAAATAAAATTTTTAAAAACTAAAATTAAAACACACACACACACACACACACACACACACACACACACACACAAAACAGTAACAAGCCATGTGCTAGTAGCTCACACCTGTAATCCTAGCTTCTCAGGAGAGGCTGAGATCTGAGGGTCAATTTGAAGCCAGCCTGGGCAGGAAAGTCTTATTTCTAATTAACCACCAAAATGCTGGAAGTGGAACTGTGGCTCAACTAGTAGACCACCAGCCTTGGGTGAAAAAGCTACAGGACAGTGCCTAGAACCTCATTACTGCCCTCTCACACACCCAAAAAAATATTAGGAACTGACCAGAAAATAAACAGGGAAAACCAGGAAGTAAATTTTAAAATGGCTATTTTAAAGAAACTCCATTTTCAAGTAAACACAGAAAAATGATTATCTGAGACTCTTAACAGATGGAATTGAAAAATGAATTAACAAAATTAAAAACATAATAGAAGGCATCAATATCAGGATAGATCAAACAGAAAAAAAGAATTAGTAAGTTCAGAGACTTACTTGAAAATACAGGCAAAGAAGAACAAAAACAAAAACAAAAAAGAAGAGGAAGAAATCTTGCAGCAACTTAGGCATTAAAGGAGTAAATATCTGGATTACTGAGGTTCAGTGATTTAAGCATGCCAAAGGAATATAAAAGCTTAATTAAACAAACGACAACAGGTAACTTCCCAAAGCTAAAGGATACACACATATAGGTACAATAATACCTGCTGAGTAAACACAAGGCCCTGAGTTCAAACCCTTGTACTGTCAAATAGTAACATTAACAACCACCAACACTATATTAGTATACTAAGATAGGCAATATAGAAAAATGCAAAATGGGACATTAAAACTTAAAAGTGAAAGGAGGAAAGGAGAACAAATAGGATTCTCTAGTACTGTATTTTCTCTAGTTTGTGGGAGAGTTTGATATTGTGATTTGTTTCTTTTTTCTTTTTTTTTTTTTTTATGGTCAGTCATGGGGCTTGAACTCTGGGCTTCAGCTCAAGGTGAGCACTCTATCACTTGAGCCAGTATCACTTCCAGCATTCTCTGCTTATGTGGTGCTGAGGAATAGAAACCAGGGCCTCATGAATGCAAAGCAAGCACTCTACCACTGAGCCACCTTCCCAGCCCGTGATTTGTTTCTCAACTTTAGGATCTTATTGAGTTGGTATCCTTTCAAAATAGTTATGAGACTTAAAAAGTTAGTTGAGACTTTAAACATGTTTTAAGTCTCATGATAATCTCAAGCAACATTCAGTAACAGACACACAATTAAGAAAACACAGTAGACCAAGAAGCACTGTACTTATAACCTGACTTATAAAATTATTAACACCTCTGTACAACTATATCATCATCATCGATGACAAGTTAATACCTTAACAAGATTTAAAGAATGAGAAATAGGAACTACAACCAAATTAGAAAATGAGTTATAAAATGTTGTGTATCAATAATTACCTTAAATATAAATAAATTATCCAATTAAACGACAGTGACTAAATGCAAAATCACATGGTACATTACAAAAATCTCACTAAATAAGTTAGGAGTTAGCAAGCTAAGAGAATGTGCTCTGAGCCAAGGACTCAGTCTGTTCCACTGTGCCTGACCCTTACAAAATATTTTCCGAAACAATTTATGAAACTAGTTTTTCTGCATCAACACAAAGCTAAAACTCCTATAGTCATTTGGAAGTCATTGGAAATGTACAGATTTAGTCTGAATGCCTGCCCTAGAAGTTTACACTTTGATTTTAGCCCAGCTTTCCAAAGAACTTACAGCGTCTGCTTTACAAATGGTGTTGGCTACGTGTCGACATAGCATCTTCAGCCAGTTTTCCTTGGGAAGGTCATCTGACGTCATCTGGAAACTGAGTAGCACATTTGCCTGCTCTGTTGGTGGCCTCACAAGCAGGGCAAAAGCATTATGGCAATCTAAGGTTCCAAAACAAGCATAAATATTATTAATTCCTTGAAGACTTGTAAGTTTCTTTGTATCACCAAAACTCAATGAACTTATCTCTTTTCCACATTACCTGCCCCTTTTTTTTATAGTTAAAGAACCTCATTATATCAAGTTGAAACATTGAATTTATAATACTGTTTATAATGCAAAGAGCCAACAAGAGAACTTGAAAACATTAAACAGTATTTTCTATTATACTTAATATTTCTATAATGAAGTTTAAGCAAATAAGAAATGAAGTATCGCTGGGCACCAGAGGATCACAGTTGGAATCCAGCTCAGGCAGGAAAGACTGTGAGATTCATTACCAATTAACCACCAGAAAACTGGAAGTGGTGCTGTGGCTCAAAGTGGTAGAGTGCTAGCCTTGAGTGAAAGAGCTCAGGAACAGTGTCCAGGCCCTGAGTTCAAGCCCCACGACTGACAAAAAAAAAAAAAATGTATCATTTCTTAAAAACCTAGAATTTAAGTTTCAAATTAGAAGAGCATTACAAGAATAACAACCTAGGGGAGGGATGGGTAAGCATGTTTTAAGAGATGACACATAAACTGCTCTGTTAAATGGCAACCCCTTTGTAAATAACTGAAGATATTAATTAAAAAATAACAACCTATTGAAAAGTAGATTTAAAGAAATAAATACCTAAATATTAAAACTTACGAACTACTTTGGATCAAGTTGCTAAAAAGAGAACTTATTTTAACCAAACAGCTCTTTTCTAACTAAAATATTCCTAAATGGATTTAAATAACTGATTCATATAATCCTTGTAAACCCAAACTTTGATCATGAGTGAAAACAGCTTCATTAGATGCTATGAAATTTTTCTCTAAGAATTTTTCAAGTGGCTTATGTCTATAATCCTAGTTATGCAGGAAGCTGAGATCTGAGGATCAACATTAGAAGACAACCCAAGCAGGAATATTCATGAGACTCTTATTTCCAATTAACTACCAAAAAGCCAGAAGTGGGGCTATGGATCAAGAGGCTCGTTAGTCTTGAGCAAATAAGCTCAGGGACAGTGCCCAGGTACACAGGTACTAGACAGGTAATTTCTTTTGGGTTCTGAAAAAATAAAAAAAGATAACTAGAATACTACTTTAATACATGACCATTTCAAAGCTCTTTGACTCATAAGGGATACATATAGTGCATAGGTTGAGGTAGCATTTTCATTTGAAACAACAAAACTTTGTACCTCAAAGTGGAACTGAGATCAAATTATGAGACCATCTGCCTCACCAGATCGACAACTATACCTAAACATAACTTATCCATTCATAAACACACAAGTAAATATAAGCTTTCGGTCTTTAACCAATAACTTACCAGTGGGCATACCATACCTTCTGTTTCTCTTATGTCCAGCACCTTTTTAATCTGAGAAAGAGGCATTAGATGAATATGCTTAAGAGAAGCAGGAGGTCGAGTATGGCCAGGAGGACTTTTAAAAGTGCCAATAACTTTATGCCGTTTTCTTGCTATCTGATTATAGAAAATAAAAATGTTGTAATTGGTAATACGAAGAAAAATTAGACCAAGCATTTAAAAATAAGTAACACTAATTACAAACACTGATCTAGAACTAATTTAGCACAGTTCCACTGTGGCAAAACCATGGCTGTAACTGTGTAGCAGAAATGCACATGGACGGGAATGTGCCAAAAATGTCTTAAGCCAGGGGCTGGTGACTCTTCCTTGTAATAATAACACTTAGGAAGCTGAGATCTGAGGATTGCAGTTAGAAACCAGCCTGAGCACAAAAATCCAAGAGTCTTAGTCTTCAATTAACCACCCAAAAGCTCGAAGTGAAACTGTAGCTCATGTCATAGAGTATCAGCTTTGAGAAAAAGAACTCAGGGACAGTGCCCAGACCACAAGTTCAAGCACCAGTAACAAAAAAAAAAAAGCTCCAGAGGTATGAAAGAGCTAGAAAGCAAGAGACTCAAAGTATGAAGGAGCTTTAAATAAAAAGCTTGCTCTTGGATCTCTGCCGAGTTCAAAACCAGAAATTTCAATTTAAGAGCAGAATTTTCAACATTTCAGATACTGTACACTGATTAAATAGCAGAGGAAATAATATAAAAAGTTCTTGCACTTACTATTTCATTCTACTAACCAAAGGAAGCATTAAAAAAGTAATTAAAAAATACATTAAACTGATGCTACAAGTTACAAATGCAATGTAATGTTTTAGGCTCTATCTTTCCCTTAACTGAATACACGTGTAAAAGAGACAGGTAAGGATACACTGGAAACTGAGCAAACTCAGAAAGGATCTTGTAATTTAGGAGATACCAAGATTTTGTGAATTTTATAAGATGTTCACACTTTCTCTCTTTTCACCTTCATAAAGTCCAAGTCTGTTTGCCTTTTTATTATTTTTTTGGGGGGGGGAGGGTCCGGTCATGGGCCCTGAACTCTGGGCCTGGGAGCTGTCCCTCAGCTCTTCAGCTCAAGGCTAGCGCTCTACCACTTGAGCCACAGAGCCACTTCCGGCTTTTTTCTTTTTGCTTATGTGGTGCTGAGGAATTGAACCCAGAGCCTCAGGCATGCAAGTGCTCCCACTGAGCCACCTTCCCAGTCCTGTTTGCCTTTTTAAAACATTACTTCCTACTGGGCACCAGTGGCTCAATTCTATAATCCTAGCTCCTCAGGAGGCTGAGATCTGAGAACTGAGATTTAGAGCCAAGGCAGACAAATCTGAGACTCTTATCTCCAATTAACCTGCAAAAAGCTGGAAGCACAAGTGTGGCTCACTCGGTAGAAAAAGCAGAGCAAAACTTGAGGCCCTAAGTACAGAAAAAAAGAAAGAAAAGATATAGGAAGAAATATATCCTTAATCCAAAATTAGCTTATTTTCTCAAATAATTTATTTTTTTAATTTTCTTTTTTTGTTTATGTGGTACTGAGGAATCAAACCCAGTGCTTCATGTATGCTAGGTGACTACTCAACCACTAAGCCACATTCCTAGAACCCAAAATTAGTTTAGTTTCAGTAAAACATCACTTGTCATATTAAAAAGAAAGCAGACTATAAAATGTCTATAAGTTTTCATCATGTTAAGAAAGTACCATGCTTCTCATTCCAACTTGCCAGAGTTTTACTTTTCTTAAAGAGATTAGACAATAAGAATTTACATAGCATTACAAACTTTGAAGTCCAAATTTATGTTAAGAAAAGGCCAGGGCTGGCTGGGAAGGTGGCTCAGTGGTAGAGCGCTTGCTTTGCATGCATGAGGCCCTGGGTTCGATTCCTCAGCAACACGTAAGCAAAAAGAAAAAAGCCGGAAGTGGCACTGTGGCTCAAGTGGTAGAGCGCTAGCCTTGAGCTGAAGAGCTGAGGGACAGCGCCCAGGCCCAGAGTTCAGGCCCCACGACTGGCAAAAAAAAAAGAGAGAGAGAGAATAGGCCAGTTCCTCTTAAACAATTCTGAGACAAAAAAGCTATAAGGGAATAGAGCAAAAAGTCACTAAATTTACTAGGTAAAAGAAATGGGGGCCAGCACTTGGAGCCAATAAGTGGTGGCTAATGGTGTGAATTAAAGTAGAAGGAAGCCAATGAGCCAGCTACAGGAGATATTGAGGCTATAAAAAAAAAAAATTAAAATATGTTACTGCTACACCAGGAATAAAGGACAAGACACTAAAGGGGTTGTTGCCATTGCCCAAGGATGAATGGAACCAGTAGACCTGGGAATAAAGGGATAAAACACTAATAGAACAGAGCCAGCAGACCTAGACATTTGAACAGGAAAAAATTTACAAAGCCTCAGGAAGTAAACAAATAGAAGAATAAAGACTATACACAAAAAAAGAAGATTAAAAATAAAGACTATACACAGTTAAACCCCTATGATAACTTAAAGTCAGATAAAAGAATGATTGAAATTGACTCCTTTGTCTAGCACTTATTTTCAAAAGTAGGAAGGAAAGACTAAAGTCCTTACTATGGGGACACAGTTTAAAATTAACTGGCACATATATTTTTTATGATCATTTATATAATGGTAATATTTTTAATTACTGTTTCTTGTTTTGGTCTTGGGGCTTAAACTCTGGGCCTGGGCTCTGTCCTTGAGCTTCATTTTGTTCAGGCTGGCATGCTACCACTTTGAGTCACAGCACCACACTCCAGCTTTTTATGAGTAGCTTATTGGAGCTAAGAGTCTCACAGACTTTTGTGCCTAGACTGGCTCCAAACTGCGATCCTCAGATCTCAGCTTTCTGAGTAGCTGGATTATGGGTATGAGCCACCATACCTACTGGGGACTACTTTTTGTACTTAAAAAAATACTATTGACCAAGTGGAAATATCATATTTCATTAACTTTATAACTAGAAAACTGAATCGTGAATACAAGTAATGCTGTGGTGAGATTATATTTCACTGCAACTATTCTGTCCAAGCATGCCTTGGTCTCTAAGATTCCCTTGTTTTATAATTAAATAATAATGTTCATGATATAAATAGGACAGTACTTCGAGAAAAGCAAAGTAGAAAAGGATAAAAGGAAGAGTGTCAACTTTAAAGAAAATGGAAAAGCATAATCATTTTGATGACAACAAAAGGAAGCTATCTAGTGTAACAGAAATATCAAATAACTCTTCTCCTTAATGTCTATTTCATCAAAATCAACTTTTTTCTGAGATAAAGAAAAGCATTTTTCATCCCTCTAGCCTGTTTAAAAACGTGCACTGAAAAGTTTTGCAAATGTACATAAACATAACCCAATTACTATTTGTCAGATATTGAGAATAGATGAACATTTTATTTGTTTTTGTGCCCATCCCGGGGCTTGAATTCTGGGCCTCCATGCTGTTCCTGAGCTTTTTTGTTCAACAATAGTGCTCTACTAGAATCAATTCCAAATGGATCAAAGACCTCAAGGTAAAAGCAGATATCCTGAAAACATTACAGAAAGGAATAGGAGAAACTCTAGGGCTCCTTGGTACCAGTAGAAATTTTCTTAATAAAGACCCAGAAACACAATAAATCAAAGAAAGGTTGGACAAATGGTATTGCATTGAACTGCAGAGCTTCTGCACAGAAAAGGACATAGCTAGCAAGATAAATAGAAAGCCCACAGATTGGAAGATCTTCACTAGCTATACAAAAACAAGAGCCTCAGATCCACAATATACTTAGAGCTCAAAAAATCAAATCCCCCAAAAACAAGTCCTTTCAGAAACAACCACCCCAAAGTGGGCTAAAGACTTAGAGTGACTTCTCTGAAGAGGAAATAAGAATGGCCAATATATGATAAATGAAGAAATGCTAAACATCTCTAGCCATAAAAGAAATGCAAATCAAAACACTGAGACTCTACTCCAGTAAGAATGGCCATTATCAAGAAATCTAATGACAACATATGCTGGCAGAGATGTGGCCAAAAGGGAATGCTACTATACTGTTGGTGGATGTGTAAACTTGTTTAACCATCTGGAAAGCAGAATGGAGGTTACTCAAAAGACTAAACATAGAGCTCCCCTATGACCCAGCAATCCCATTCCTGGGCATTTACCCAAATGTTTACAAACAAGACCATACTAAAGCTACCAGCACAACCATGTTCATTGCAGCATTATTTACCATAGCTAAGATATAGAACCAACCCAGATGCCTCTCAGTAGATGAATGGATCAAGGTGTGGTATATATACACAATGGAGTTCTATGCTTCCATCAGAAAGAATGACATTGCTACTCCATTTGTAAAGCAATGGAAAGACTTGGAAAAAATTATATTAAGTGAAGCAAGCCAGGCCCAAAGAAATGTAGGTTGCATGGTTTCCTTCATTTGTAATAACTAGAATATGTCTATGATATTCCTAGCAGGGGATCACAATAGCCCAATCGCTAAGTGCATAGGACCATATATAATGAAGCATACCAAGATGAACTTCAAGAATTGGAAACAAAAGATTATTATGTCTTGTATACAGTTATTTCTTTTTTTGTTGTTTTAGTTTTCTATATCCTTTGGCTTGTATATAAGTTTATCTGATCCATGGAAGAGAAAGGGAATCACAGAAACATCAGGGCAAAGGATATGAACTAATGCAATGATGATATTCACTAGACACTATGTTGGAAATGAACTTTACAAATTGGGGGGAAGGAAGTGTGGAGTGGTTAATGGGAGAAAATGAGGGAGGGGGTAACAGTTTAAAAAAAAATGTACTCATTACTTATGTAAGGTAATAATACTCATAAATAAATTTACAAATATAAGTTTATAAATATTTTATATATATATTTATTTTTAAAAATAGTGCTCTACCAATTAAGCCCCAGTTTATTTCTGGCTATTTGGTGGTTAATTGGAATTAAGTCTCATGAACTTTCCTGCTCAGGCTGGCTTCAAACCACAACTCTCAGATCTCAACCTCCTGAGTAGCTAGGATTATAGGCATGAGTGGCTTAATGCCTGACTTAGATGAAAGTTTTAGAATGATTACATCTAATCTCATATACTGATCACAATACATTCTGCTAATTTAGAGAAGAATCCAGAGTAAATAAGAAATCTGTAGCATTAAATTATCAAGTTTCTCTCTTCCCAACAAAATACTGGCTTAATCTTTGCTAGAAAAACTGCTCAGATTTCAGAAAGAACCCATAAAATAAGCAGGTTCCAAAATTCATAGCTTAGGCATTTATTTGTTTATAAACAAGTTATATTTTCATCTTGACTTAAATTTCAAGTTTTGGAAAATTAATCATACTTCTTAATTTGTATATGTTTGTTTTTTGTCAATTTACTGCAGTGCTAGAATCAAACCTACAGCTTTGCATATGCTAGGCACGAGATCTACCACAGAGTTAGTCTTAGCCCTCATACTTCTTAATAGTAGATCTTCTAAAAGCACTGTAAAAGAATATTAGTCTACTTCAAGCATCTATATTACACTTCAATCAAAGCTTGCTTGGTTGAAATATTCAGGAAAGTCACAGAGAACAGCTCTGTTATTATATATATCAAGTACAATCCTACCTCCAGGCAGTCATTGAAGAGGAAGAGAGTTACTTGTTCACCTCTGTCACAGGGGTACTCGCCTAGAGAAATTGTTTCAACTCGCTGCACTAAGCTTCGGTGAGAAGATAAAAGATTAGCCTGTAGAGATTGAAAACATTAATAAAAGAAATCAGATCATTTGGTACCAGAAATTTTTAAGAAGTTATCATTTAAAACAAAGCAGTGCCGAAACTGCTTATTTAAAAACTATAGAAAGAGATAGGCACTAGTGGCTCACGCCTGTAATCCCAGATACTCAGAAGGGCTTAGATTTTAGGATTGTAGTCAGAAGCCAAGCTGGCCAGTAAAGTTCTTAGGTTCTTTTTTCTACTTAACTACTATAAAACTGAAGTGGAGCTATGGCTCAAGAGGTAGAGCGACAATCTTAAAAAAGTTCAAGGAAAGCACCCAAGCACCAAGTTCAAGCTCCAGAAAACAGACAGACAGACAGACAGACACAGACACACACACACACACACACACTACAAGAAATAAACAATAATCAAAAAATTCTTACTGGGCATCCATCTACTTCATACACTACATCAAAAATTTGCTTTTGTGCTTCTGTTTTTCTCTTATCCTCATTGATATGCCTGAAAAAAATAATGGGTTACTTTCTAAAACATCTTTAAATACAGAATGGTACAAATACATCTCTTGTCACAAAAAAACCCCAAATGTTCTTTCATATGAATCTAATTTTGGTGAATGAATCAGATTTTTAAAAACCTATCTTAAAGTATCCTACTACATCAAACAATATGCCATACAATTTTTTTTAGTAAATTATGTCTTACACCCTACTCCATTTTTTATCACCATACATTTTCTAAACACATTAAGCCGGTACAAAACTTCCATGTTAACAAATAAAATGTCAAAGTTCTAAATGTAAGTTTAATCAAGGCTTATGTAAGTCATTCCCAAGTCATATGCTAATCACTTCATTGAAGCAAAAACTAAGACTATTGCTACCAGACAAATGTAATAAGATGGTGTGCATTTATCCATCTGCCTGAAACAACAATGAAGCCAATCAAAACAAAGAAACCTGATTTGATATCAGGGAACTGAGAATGTAATGATTGTACAAAAGCCTTGTCAGTGATCTTAACTCATTAAACATCAGAGTGCTCACACTGGTGACAAACCTTGTCAGTGTAAGGGAAAGCATTTGCTCATGGCTCACAATTAACACACCAGAAAATTCACAGTGGGGAGAAACTGCATGAGTGTAAGGAATGTATAAACCTCACTATTTTGTGGTGCAATACTAAAAAAGTGAGAAATATGGGAAAGCCTACACCAATTCAGAGTGTTAGGAAATCTTACAAAATGTAAGCAATGTGGGAAGACTTTTTTTTTGTGTGGGGGAGGGGGTTGTATCTTGTTCAACATGAGAAATTTCATGATAGAAAGCTCTAAATTTTAGAAATGCAAAAATCTTTTTAAATGGCTCAATCTTTAATTGACTTCAGAAATTTACATTAGTGAGAGGAACTATATGCAAGGAATGAGGAATATCCTGCTATGTGTGGTACAGAACTTAATTAACAATGGAAAATTCAAACTAGAGACTGTATGAATATGGAGAATGTACACTGAGAGTAATTATCTGCCAACTAAAATTACTGTACCCAGCAAAGTTGTCTTTTAAATCTGATGGAAAAATAAAGACCTATGTATATTAGGATTCCACGGCACAACATGCAAGAATGGCTGTCACCAAAACATCAAACAAATACTGCTAAGAATGGGATAGAGAATTATGCACTATTGGTTAGAATGTTATTTAGTCTGGTCACTAAGGAAATCAGTATGGAAGTTCCTCAAAAATCTAAAATTAGAAGTACCATACGATCCTACATGCTACATTCTATTTAATTATATATCCAAAGAAATCCAAGCCAACATGTTTACTGCAGCAATACTCTCAATAGCCAAGAAACATAAATCAGTCTAGGCACCTGCCAAAGCATGAACTGATGCATCGAATATTGTATATAAACTTAATGGAATATTATTTCACCATAAAGAATTAAATCACGCTTTTATTAAGAGGAAAATAAATGGACCTGCAGAGAATCATGTAAAGCAAGCCAGACAAAAGACAATCATGTCTGCAATTGTAGCTATTTAGGAGGCTGAGACCTGAGAACTGCAGTTCAAAACCAGCCTAGGCAAGACAGTCCATGAGACTCTTTATCTCCAATTAACCACCAACAAGCCGAAAGTGGAGCTGTGTCTCAAGTGGTAGAGCACTAGCCTTAAGCAAAAGATGCTTGGGCACAGCACCGACGCCCTGAGTTCAAGCTCTAATAATAATAATGATGATGATGATGATGATGATAATAATAATATGAAAAGATGAACTGGGTGACATTAAGAAGCACTAAACTCATAACCTACTTACATAATTGTAACCTCTTTGCACCACTACTTGATAATAAAAAACTAATAAATATACTTAAAAATCTTAAAATCTTAAGTTAAAAAGGTACTAAAAGAGAAAGCAAACCACAAGCCATGGGACTGTAACTGCAAATCCCATATATGACAAAAGGTTTTTTGTAGCTTTTTTTTTTTCCAGGGCTGAGGACCGAACCCAGGGCCTTGCGCGTGCCGGGCGGGCACCCTTCCGCTGGGCTAAACCCCCAGCCCCTGACAAAAGGTTTTTTAACTAGAAGATGTTCCATAAAGAACTCTCAAAATTTAATTATAATAACTGAGATGTGGCTTTGTAGTAGAGTGATTGTCTAGCATGTGCAAGGTCTGGAATCTGATCTTACTACCACAAAAAAACCAGTAAAATACAAAAATAAAATCTAGATGGGAAGGCACTGCACATCTGACAGAAATGACCAAAGTGAATGTTGACACTGGGTCTCGGAACTCACCAAACAATCTTAGTGGAAAAAGAAAATAGAAATTTTAAACTGGGCATCAGTAGCTTATGCCTATAATCCTAGCTACTCAGAAGGCTGAGATCTGAGGATCACAGTTCAAAGACAGCCCAGGCAGGCAAGTCTGTGAGACTCTATGTCCAATAAACTACATAGAAAAAGCTGGAAGTGGGGCTGTGGCTCAAGTGGTAGAATACTAGCCTTGAGGAAAGAGCTCAGAGAAAGCACCCATGCCTCAGAGTTCAAGTTCCAGGACTGATTTTTTTTTTTTTTAATTTGGCAGTTTATTAAAGAGTTGTCCAGGGCTGGGAAGGTAGCTCAGTGGTAGAGCGCTTGCCTTGCATGCCTGAGGCCCTCGGTTCGATTCCTCAGCACCACATAAGCAAAAAGAAAAAAGCCGGAAGTGGCGCTGTGGCTCAAGTGGTAGAGCGCTAGCCTTGAGCTGAAGAGCTGAGGGACAGTGCCCAGGCCCAGAGTTCAGGCCCTACGACCGGACCCCCCCCCCCCCCAAAAAAAAGAGTTGTCCATTCATTATTCTAACCTCATCAACCTTACCAGTAATTTAGCCAAGAGAAACAAAAGCACAATTTCAAAGATTTGTTTACAAATCCTCATAGCAATTTTCTTTATAATAGCCAGAAACTAAAAGTAATCAAAAAATAATTATGCTGGGGGGGTGTGGTTGGGGGATATGAGAACAAGACAAAAGAATATAACATTAGACTCAATTTAGATATAACCCTTAAAAATGTACATCACAGTGACAGAACAACAGTTGTCTTGGGATAGGTGGGACAGGAAGAGACAGAAAAAGGGATTACCAAGGAGCAAATTTTCTCCTCAGTGGGGAAAGAAAGTGTCCCTTACATTGTTGTGGTCAAGGTTTCAGGGGAGTATCACATATGTATCACAAAATTAGCAAATTATATTTTAATTATGTACTCACCCTAAGTAGAAAAATAGGCATATTAAAGTCACTAAAAACTTGTATCTATATCAATTTAATATCTGTAAAGTAAGCTGGATACGACAGTACATCTTTATAATCTTTGTACTAAAGAGACTGCTAGAGAGTGCTGGGGCAAGAAGATCTCATGTTTGGAGCCAGCCTGATCTATAGGGCAAGACTGTCTCAAATTTTAAAAATAAATATTTGGTTACATAAGCTATGGATATTTATGTTGTGCAAATTAAATTTTTTGTTTACTTCAATGGCAATTATTGAATTGGTGTTGTCATTATTTCCTTTATCTAAGAGGCTATGGTTGTTTCAACCAGCTATGATAAGCACTTAATCCCTAAACTCAAAAACCTCAAGAATTCTTATTTGACCAAATTCTATATGCCTTACAAACAAGTCAACATTACAATTCAATACTATAATTAGCTCTTGAATTCAACATTTACTAAAAATATATTATGAGCAAGACACATAAAAGCTAAAGATATTAAGAAGTAAATATGAATGTAAATGTAAACATACTAAAGTAACTTAGATATCCTTTGTAATTTGTCAATTTAATTTTAAATCTAAGGAATTAATAAGGAATTGAAACAATGTACTTACGTCATTACTTCTTTTAGTGATCCAATAGCTTTTTCTAATGTGCTTTTGTCAGGATTTTCATCAGCTGTATGCTTCTTAAGATCTGTAATAATAAATAATTTTTCCATGATTAAAAACAAACTTAAGCTGGGTATGATGGCGCATGCCTATACCCCTAGCTACTATTCAGGAGGCAACAACTAGAGAATCTTAAGTTCAAGGCCAGAAAAAAAAAGAGAACAAAACCTGCCTCAAAATCAAAAAGGGCTATGGGTATAGTTTGAAGTGCTAGAGTGCTCACCTGGCATGTACAAGGTCCAGTTCAATCCTTAATATTTTAAAAACAAAAAAGGAAATCAGGGCTGGGAAGGTGGCTCAGTGGTAGAGCACTTGCCTTGCATGCCTGAGGCTCTGGGTTCGATTCCTCAGCACCACATAAGCAAAAAGAAAAAAAAGCCGGAAGTGGCACTGTGGCTCAAGTGGTAGAGCGCTAGCCCTGAGCTGAAGAGCTGAGGGACAGCGCCCAGGCCCAGAGTTCAGGCCCCACAACCGGACCCCCCAAAAAAAGAAAAAAAAAAGGAAATCAGTAGCTTCCCATCTAAGGCTATCAATCTTAATATATTTTATTTTTAAAGATCCTATCTAATTTTTAGTTGAAAAAATGTTTAGCTGTGGAGCCAGTGGCTCATACCTGTAATCCTAGCTACTCAGGAGGCTGAGATGTGAGGATCATGGTTCAAAGTCAGCCCAGGCAGGAAAGTCTGGGCAGGAAAGTCCATGAGACTCTTATCTCCAATAAACCACTCAGAAAACCAGAAGTGGCTCTGTGGCTTAAGTGCTAGCCTTGAGCTGAAGAGCTGAGGGACAGTGCCCAAGCCCAGAGTTCAAGCTCCACAACTGACAAAAAGAAAAAAGAGAAAGAAAAAATGTTTAGCCAGGCATGATGACACAAGGTCACAGGTCTTCCATTTGAAGCCAACCTGGGCTCAAACAACCAAGACTCAAAATGAAACCAGTGGTACAGTGTTTGCTAAACCTCAACACACACACACACACACACACACACACACACACACACACACACACACACACACACACACACACACACACGCACGCACGCACGCACACTTAAAAGCTCTTTTATACATCCATCCTTTTAAAATTAACTATTGCCTCAAGTTCCTTCTAGTAAAACTTGGAGACTCCTCACTTCCTCCATTGTACTGAAAGATCCTCACACACAATGCTCAATTATGACGTAAATCATTATATATTTTGCATTTCACATTGATCCACATGTCTCAGTTACAAAGAGCATTTGGTGTCCTGAAGGGCCAAATTTTTTTCTCTAAGAAGCTCATACTAAATGTTATTATTAAATATGTTACTATGTTTCTTATACCATACTTGACACATATTAACAAACTATATTCAATCTAGTACCATGTGAAAAGCTCAGGATAATCATTTGATGGAATTCTATGCAATAAAAGTACTAGCTGAAACAACAGTGAAGACATACCCTGATTTTAAATAATCCTTAAAATCAGTAAAGCAAGATGTAGGGAAATCATTTTATAAGCCACTAATACTCAATTAACATAAACTAAAAAAGTGCCAATTTTAGAGTTTGTAGACAGTTCTTAACCAAAATATTTTACAGAAAAAATAAACACAAATTTAGCTTGTTATCTGCTCCATATACTACTTTAAGTTTATAGAGATCAAATTCTCTTATTTTTTGTACCTGGTCCAACTCTACCATCTAGCCTGGCCCCAAACTTGCAACCCTCCTGAGGGTAAGGATTACAGATGTGCACCATATCTGGCTCAAAATTCTTAACTGCAGACTTTCTTACTCTTTATAAATTAGCTTTTAGCTGGCCATTGATGGCTCACATCGGTAATCCTAGCTACTTAGAAGGCTAAGATTTGAGGATTAGTGTTCAAAGCCAGTCCAGGCAGCAAATTCCAAGAGATTCATATTTCCAATTAAACAACAAAAAGTCAGAAGTGGAGCTGTGGCTCTAGTGGAAAGCACTTGTCCTAAATGAAAGTGCTAAGGGAAGCATCTATACTGTTCAAGCCCCAGTACCAGCACATAAATAAATAAGTAAAGTTTTAAAGTATCTATCTTAGTACTACTATAGTAAAGCAAAGTATAAAGGAATATATGTATACTTTTCTTAAGCCAGAGCCAAAATTTATTCATAAAAACTGAGCTATATATAAAACTTACTACTGAGATTTGTAGTTTTATGTTCTTAAAAAGATAGATACTACAGGTTTCAACTGTATATTGAACAGTCTAAAATTAAAAGTAAAGTCTAAAATACACAGAAAGATCTAAAAACCTGGGACACATGAAATCATCTGTGAATTCTGTGCTATGTGAATATAAACTGATTATTAGTCTCATATCATCATAAGACTTTCTTTAAAAAATAGACAAAAGGATGCAAGTCAACACAGCTGACACCAGAAGGGGTTACCTTCAGGCAAGATTGTATTTTTATAGCAAGGATGACTACTTTTTACTTGTTTTTTTTTTATTCCTGGTCAGTCATGGGGCTTGAACCCTGGGCCTGGGCGCTGTCCCTCAACTCTTCAGCTCAAGAGAAGCACTCTATCACTTGAGCCACAGTGACACTTCCCATTTTCTGGTGATTAATTGGAGATAAGAGTCTCACGGACTTTCCTGCCCAGGCTGGCTTTGAACTATGATCCTCAGATCTCGGCCTCCTGAGTAGGTAGGATTACAGGCATTAGCCACTGGTACCTGGCTAGGATGACTACTTGTTAAGACAATTTACAATGATGTTTTCTAGGTAAAAGATAAATTTAAGTGCTAAAAACCTAAGAATCTCTGAAAAATAGAAGAATTTCAGCGATAAAACTGAGATGGAGACAAGGATGACTTACTGGTAGAGGCCTTCAGTTCAAATTCTAGTACCAACCAAAGAGAGAGGGCAAGCCAGAAAGAGCCAGAGAGACAAAGAACTATTCCAAAGAAATATCTAAAGTAATCTCCAACAGATCAGACAAGTACCATTTAAAAGTAATGCCACACTGGGTAACCTCTGCACTGGTCGGATGAGAAGTTCAACAAGGCTTTGCCGTCCACATTCTGGTTTAGCTTGGTTTATCTGAAAGAAATGTATTCCAAAAAACTTTTAAGTTTTTTTTAAGTCTCATGTAAACATTAACTTACACGTTTTAAATTACATTTTATCATTTGGGTCCTTGACAGGAACTAAAAAGAGACCTGGTAAATGAGCAGTACTTTCAGTTTTAAGCAAAGCACTGTGATGGAATCGTCTCCCAGGACTGAAATGACTCTTAGCCAACAAAGATCAACATCTCACAGAGAAAGTGTGCTTCTCTACACACCCCTAGGTATCCTGTCTTAAGTTTCATTTAAATCTAATTATTCAAAAGGAAAACATTAACTATGCTGACACCATAAGATAAACTAAAACAACGATGGAAAATTTTTTTTAAAAATCCTACTGGGAAATCTGTGTTTGAAGAGTTAAAAGTACATATAACTATTTTCCCTTTTCTAAATAAGCACTTACATTCAATATGGTCATTCATTCACCTGTCTGTTGACCTCTGCTACTTAACATATCTTTTAAACATCACTGTTACCAATAGGTCTGACCACACTTAACAGATAAACTTTACTCATTTCAATTTCTTTATTTCTTATTATTGTAATGTATTCCTTCAGCGATGATCCTCAGATTTTCACTTGAAAGAACATTAGTAGAGCACCTGCCTAACCACAAGGACCTGAGTTCAAACCCCATTTCTGCCCCCCAAAAATGTACATTACCTTCAGAAAAGCATGAAATCGGGGCTTCTGTTTTTCACATTTAATAATTGTTTCCTTGCTCATTTCAAAGAAGTTTACAAAAGGAGGGTAGGTTTTTACCAAATCTTTGGACTAGGAATAAGAAAGGGAAAATAACCATTAATTTCTTAGGCATGCCACCCTTGTACAATGAAACTTAGTCAGTCAGCAGTCACAATCTGATACATTATATGCAAAAGGAAACTCTAAGTTTCACAAGGCAAATGTATAAACTTATCCTATAAGCATCTCAGTAAGAAGATGCCAAGCAGCCTGTAGTCCTAGCTACTCAGAGGATGATATTTCAAAGATTTCTATTAAAAGCCAGCCCAGGCAGAAAAATTCCTAAGCCTCCATCTCTAAATAACCAGTAAAAAGCAAGGTTGGAGGTATGGCTCTAATGGGAAAGCACCAGCCAAGCAAGCTTGAGGTTGAGTTCAAACTTCAGTACTATCCAAAAAAACCACAAAAAACAAAATTACTGAACAAAGTGTATCAATTAGTACACACAGCATAAAACTTAAAAACTAAATAAAAACCCAGAAAGATCAAAGGTATTAAAGTGTACCATGTATCAATATAAACATGACAAGAAAATTTGAAAACATCCATAAGTAAGAAATATATTAATTACATTAGAGCTGATTCACACAGAAAATTTTAATTAACAATGATAACCACTATTAAGAAAACAATTCTATTATCGAAAAATCCAAGCAGAACAAGAAAATGTCTTGGCTAATCTTAGGACATTAAGAGTCATCAGAACAATTTCTGGAAATAATTCTGACATTTGGAATTCTCAACAAACCAGAAAAAAAAACATCTAAGACACAACAAGGAACGAAAATCAGGGCATGACCTCCAAAAACGGAAGTATTATGTTCCTGGTAGACAAGACTTTGAACTTTGCAAGTCCTATTCAAAGAGATTACAAAATTTATACAGTAAAGCCTGTTCATAGAACCTCATCATAATGAGTGCTTTGAATGTTTTATGTACTTACGCTAGGTATTTCTTGTTTTATTGGGTTTTTTTCTTTCAGTCATGGGGCTTGAACTCAGGGCCTGGGCACTGATCCTGAGATTTTTTTGCTCAAGACTAGTGCCCTACCACTTAAAGCCACAAAGCTAAATTCCAGTTTTCTGATGATTAATTAGAAATAAGAGTCTCACAGACTTTCCTGCCTGGGGTGGCTTGGAACCTCAATCCTCAGATCTCAGCCTCCTGAGTAGCTGAGTGAGCCACCGACACCCCACTATGATTTCTTTCTGTTTTTATTTTGGTTTTCTGAGACAGTCTCAATATGTAGCCAAGGCTGGCCTTGAACCTCTTGATCCTTCTGCCCTGCTCTCACAAGTGCTTAGACTGGCATGCAGCACCACATGCAGCATTTGTTTTTAAAGGACACCGGCCCTCATGCTCTGGACTGTACCCAGGGCCTCATGCATGCTAAGCAAGTGCACTACCATGAAGCTCCATCCCCAGATATGAGGTTCTTATCCTCAAATAGAAGCAGCAATTCATTAGGAACCTTTAAACAGAAAGACAGGAGAGTGAAAAGTATTATCAGTAAGAAAAAGAAAAGCTTATGTAGCAAGTTTGAATAAGATCACTAATCTGTGACCATTTATGAATAGTAAGTAATCTGACATAATATAATCTCACTGACCATAGTGAGATAATTAGTGTTATTCTAATGATGACCTTGTATTAGTCTATGTATAAGAAGCACAGTTTCAGCAGCTAAGAACAATACAAACGTATTTTATAAACTCAACTATGTCAAAGTTTGTAAACCTCTGATCATTTAAAGGATTTCCCTGAGTCCTTGATTAGATACTTCAATTTGAAACAGCAAAATTAAAATACTTACATATTTAAGAAAGATGTCACCAATGCTTTTGCTCTCATCCCAGTTAACAATTAGGTCTTCTAGATCATCCTAAAATCAAACCAATTGAAACATTTAAAATGTTTAAAAAGCTTGACAGCTTAATTGTACATCTTAATTGTGCAGCTTTTAATACGTCCAAGATATTCAACTGGAAAGAAGTGTCTTCATCTTAATTTGATGTGCAAAATAATATCCCACCCTTCTCCTCAACAAGGAATGTCTACAAACTAAAAATAAAGAAAATATAGTATCTAGTCAGTAAGACTAACTTCTCAATGTAATAGCTCAATAATGTGTCTTATTCATAAGTTAACTATTCTATTGAAACTATAAATTGATTGGCATTATTAATCTGAAAGTTAATCCTGCTGACATGCTGGTGCATGTCATTAAAAAGTATAGTCCATTAACAGGGTCAGCAAATTTTACTTAAAGGGACAGATGGTAAACAGTGAAGGCCATATAGTTTCTGTCATTACTGCTCAGCTCTGCAAAGTAGGAACCACCATAGACCATATATCAACACTAAGAGTGGCTCTGTTCTAAGACCCTCTGTACCCTATCAGGTAGTAGAAAAGATTTGGCCCATTAACCACAGCTTCCTAATCGCTGGTCAACAAAGATCTCCATGGTCATGTTAAAATATTACATACTCGTAAAAATTTAGAAGACATTTATAAACTTCACAAGAAAAGAAATGACAAAATGAGATGCCAAAAAATGACATTAAATAATTAAAATTCTAAGTAATTTTACTGCAAAAATCAGTAAGCTCTTTTTTGGGAGGTGGGAGTGATATAGGGCTAGAACTAAGGACCTCATCTGTCAAGTTCTTCACTCACAGTTGGCTCTCTACCACTTGAGCCTCCAATTAGGGCTTTTTGCTGGTTAACTGAAAATGCAAGTCTCTCAGATTTGTTTACCAGGGCTGGCTTCGAACTGCATTTCTCAGATCCCGGCCTTCTGAGTAGCTAGCATTATAAGTATGAACCACAGGGCCCATCTAGTAAGTAACCTCTTATCAGAGGGTCTCAATGTAGCATCTCAAAAGCCTAGGAAACACATTCCATGGACCCCATGAAATTAAAACTATTTTTCTAATAAAGAGAGGAAGGTTGGGCAAACAGGTATAATATTCAATGTACATAACGTGTGATAATAGAACTAAGTAACTATGGTGGCGTTGGGATAGATGGAGGGGATAGAGGGAGGGGGAGAACGATGGAACACTGATTAAGACTGAACTCATACATGCGTACGTTGAAATGAAACTCATTTGTTCAACAATTTAAACAATAATTTTTAAAAAAACTAGTTTCACTGTAATTCTAAGGTATTGACTTTTCTCTCTCCTGCAGCACACACAATGTGCAGTACTCTACCAGAGCAAAATCTAAAGTCACTTTTCTACTAAAAAGAAGGAAAAAAACCCTATACACAATGTAAATACTGTGCTTCTCACTGTATTGTCTTAGAAATTAGTTCTTTTTTCATAACAATGCCATTTGTTATTATGTAATGGGTCATTTTAAATAAATTAATACTTGCACCGGTGGCCCATACCTGTAATCCTAGCTACTCAGGAGGCTAAGATCTGAGGACCATAATTCGAAGCCAGCCTGAGTGAGACTCATACATGCAATTAGTCACCAAAAAAAGTAGAAGTGGAGCTGTGTGTAGCTCAAGTGGTAGAGAACTAGCCTTGAGCACAAATGCTCAAGGACAGTGCCCAGACCCTAAGTTCAAGCCCTAGAACCAGCACAGAAAGAAAAAAAAAAAAATAGATACACTGAGGCTGGAAATGTAGCTCAATGGTAGAATGCTTTCTTAGCATGCACAAGGCCTAGATATGATCCCATCACTGAGAAGCAAAACACAATCCGTTATCCCAAGCAGAAGAGGTTCTGCTGGAGGGTGGGTGCTATCAGAAGCAAGCTGGACAACAAAGGAGGTGGATGAGGATAAGTAAGGTTCCAAGTAGTTTGTTTGCATGTATGAAAAAAGAACAAGGAAACACATGGAAATTGCTTTGCGGAAGAAAGAAGGAGTAAAGTAAAAGTGGTAGAGAGGGTAGACTGACTTGGAGGGAGATACATGTAGACAATGAAACAAAATCCCCCACATCCTCCTATAATACTAATGTATTCATTTGTCAGATATCACACCAAAAGTACAGTCCATTTTTTAAAAGGTAATCAACTGGATTTCATCAGATTTTAAAACTTTTAAAGAAACATATCCAGAATTTTAAAATACTTCTAACTCAATAAAATGACAGCCCAAATAAACAGTAAGTAGGAGAGACTGTAAGGAGGAGGATCTCATTGAAGAGGCCAGCCCCTGGGAATAGGCAGGACTTTATCTAATTTAAAAGCAAAGAAGGGCTGAACTATATGGGAAGGGAAATAGGCAAGAGAAACATGACATTTGGAAAAAACTGTGAAACAAAACAAAATCCTCTCTACCAAAGAAATCTAGTGATAGCTTTCTAAAGCATAAAAGATATAAAAGATTAATGTCTTTAAAAGACCTTAACTGGAAATAAAGATAAACTAGCTTTTAGAGCAAAAAGAATTCCTTTAGAGTTCATATCAAGTTTTGGAAATTAAATGAAACAGATGGAGGATTCTGATAAAAGACAAAATACATTCAGTAAATGGTACTTTCACTAACCTACAGTTTTGCTAACTCACAGATCATTTATACTTTTTACTCATAAGGCATACTAAAAAGTTTTATGTATCTGTCTAAAAACATTCCATAGTTCAGACTGATCCTTTTATTGGACTATAAAAATAAACACCAATATGGGAATTTTTTTAACAGAAAACAGTGCTTTTGCTCAAATATCATACAGGAAAAATAAAAAGGAACAACACTGCTTTCCCCTAGTTCTTTTCTTCAGTAGTGAGAGTGGTAAAACCAACACCAACACATCAGATGAAAGCTCATTGCTGAGCGAGTCCCCAGGCTCCAAGCTAGCATGTTGTGCGTATATGTCCGTGTGTGCCTGTCCTGGGGCCAGAACTCAGGGCCTAGAGACTGTCCCTGAGCTCTTTTGCTCAAGACTAGCACTCTACCACTTGAGCCACAAGTTGATTTCTGGCTATTTGGTAGTTAACTAGAAATAAGAGTCTTTCAAGCTTTCCTGCCCAGGTTGGTTTCAAACTGTGGGCCTCACATCTCAGCCTCCGAGTAGCTAGGATTACAGGTATGAGCACCAGCACTGGGCTGTAAGCTGTTTTGGTTTTTGCTTTTACATAAGTAGTTTAATGAGACTCCACCTTGACAGCATGGAGACACAAATCTAAAGTCGCAACTATTCAAGAGGTTGAGGCAAAAGGCTCAAGTTCAAAGTTAGTGTAAGATTCTAACTCCAAAAACACGAACAAGTTTTTGAGTAATAAGAATGTTAAAATAGGTTCTATTGCGGGTAGGTACCAGTGGGATGGGGAGAACCAACTGGAGAGCAAAGGGGGTAATATGGTCAAAATGCTTCATATATAAGTATAAAAAACAATAAAACACTGAAAAGTAATAAGGGGTGAACTTGATCAGGATATACTCTATGCATATATGGAAATGTCACATGAACCTCCCACACACATAACTAGTGCATGCTAATAAAAACAATCTTAAAAAAAAAACCTAGAGATGAATAGAAAAAAATTGATACAAGAAAACTAAATGTAAATTAAGAAGTTTGTTTTTTGTTTTTGCCAGTCGTGGGGCCTGAACTCTAGGCTTGGGTGCTGTCTCAGCTCTTCAGCTCAAGGCTAGTGCTCTACTACTTGAGCCACAGTGCCACTTCAGGCTTTTTCTGCTTATGTGGTGTTGAGGAATTGAACCTAGGGCCTCATGCATGCAAGACAAGCACTCTACCACTGAGCCATCTTTCCAGCCCCACAGGTTTTTGAATGTTAGGATATGGACCTTATCTAAATATATTAATACACAATGTGCAATTTTGTTAAACTTGAGTCAAGTAATACCATCAACAGTGTGTAAACTTGTCAACTTTAAAACACTATGTGGTTATAGAAACTCAGTCTTTAGCCAAGACAATCACAAGGGAATGGAGCAGATCTTTCCAAAGTATAAGGTATTGGGGTTCAAGATGTGAAACAAGAAATAGAGCACATGCCTAATAAGCATGCAGCCTGGAGTTGAAGCCCTAGTACTGGAAAAAAAAAAAAAAGGAGGAGACTGGATATTGCTCTCCTTGCTTTAGAGACTACAATTTTTCTATCCCTATAAAAACAAAGAAAAAAACCCCACAAATACATGTTATTATGTTGGCAATACATGTTTATTGTAAGATCATTCTAAATTCTCCATACAATATTTTCATATGCACAAGTCTAGCCATTATACAAGGATGAGGAGTGAGAAAAGTGAAAAAAAAAAGGTTGTTGACCAATTAAATAGAAAGTAAAAGAACAAGTTTCAACTATATACCTAGTTAGGGCTCAGGATGCTTGTTCAGTAGTAAAGCTTTTGTCTGTCATATGCAAGGCCTGGGTCACATGCACGCATATGCAGTACACACTAACATATGCACAAACATATACACTAAAAAAGCAAACAGATACTACTTAGCTAATAGGAAACACATGTAAGGTTAAATATAGAACAACTCAATAATATCAATCGAACAAAATTTACCTTTATCTTAGTGTGGACATCAAAGATATCTGGGATGCTACCAAAGATAGTTTTAATCTCTTCTGGTGCAAGAATAGGCCCACCACGTTGTCCTTCTTCTTCCAATGGCACCTGAAATAACTGATTGGGGAAAACAGAAGAATATGTTAAGAAGACGGTGGTAAAAAGAAAAACAAAGGTAAAATACACACAATGACAAGATGTTGAGATGCTGATAGAAAAGAATTAAAAATGTTCCTACATTTAAAACATTTTTTCTTGCAACACTGCCTATCCTACTTATATTGCATACTCTGTATGTACATATGTGCACATAATAAACATAACCCTTAAAAATTAATAAAAGCCAAGCAACTACTCAGGAAGCTGAAACATGAGGATCTTGATTCAAAGCCAGCCCAAGCCAGTCCAATCATCATTTGCCAGGCACCAGTATCTCATGATTGTAATCATAGGTATTCAGGAAGCTGAGATCTGAGGATCACAGTTCAAAGCCAGCCTGGGCAAAAAGTGGGAAACTTATGAAAAAAACACCATTTAAAAAATAACCAAAGAGCTGGAATGTGGCTTAGTGATAGTGTGCTTGCCTAGCATTCATGAAGGCCTGAGTTTGATTCCTCAGTGCCACTTAAACAGACAAAGCTGGGAGTAGTGCTGTGGCTTAAGTGGTAGTTTACTCACTAACCTTGAGCAAAAGATCCTCAAGGACAGTGTCCAAGACCTGAGCTTAGGACTGGCAAAACAAACAAAAAAGTAGCTCCCCCCATTGTTTTGTATGTAGTGTTCCAACTCCATGGTGCACATTATCATTACAGCAAAATCAGTACAACAAACCACAATTTACAGTGCTCAGCAGCCCCATGTGGTCAGTAACCATCATATTGTATACCAGATGTACAGAGTTAAGGAAGAAATATAAAGCATGAAATCACTAGGACAACCTATCTTGAGACTATACAAGAATAATATAGGTTCTAGACTAGTCCTGAGAAACCCGTATCTCCAATTAGCCAGCAAAAAGCTGGAAGCAGAAGAGTGATTCAAGTGGTGTAGTGCTATCCTTGAGCAAAAAGTCAAGTGAGAATTCAAGGCCTTGAATTCAAGTCCCAGGATTGGCACAAAGGAAAAAAAAAAGAAGACAGTACAACATCCTTGGGTTGTGGGGACAGGAACCAGTGGGAATGGGGAGAGCTAAAAAGGAGAATAAATGGATATGGTAGTCTGTTTGCATGTATAAAAATAAAACAATGAAACTTGCTGAAGTTGTTTTAAGGGGGAGAGTGATAGACAGAGGTAAGGCTGAGCAGGATGCATTGTTTACATGTGTACAAATATCACAATGAAAACCCTAGTACCACTTACGTTAATTTAAAAATTTGAATTAAAAAAATGGATGAGTTGTGCACTAGTAGTTAATTCACAACTGTAATCCTAGTTACTCAGGAAGTCTGACCCCAACAGCCTAGGCATAGATGGCATATCCAATTATCCGTCAAAATGACAGACTGGAAGCTTGGCTCAAGTGGTAGCACTAGCAATAAGTAAGCAAGCCTGAGTTCAAGCCCTAATAATGGCATTGAAAAAAACAAACAACAGAAAAATAAAAACAGTCAGTTGTCGGCGGCTCACGCCTGTAATCCTAGCTACTCAGGAGGCTGAGATCTGAGGATCGTGGTTCAAAGCCAGGCCAGGCAGGAAAGCCCTTGAGACTCTTATGGACAGTGCCAAGACCCAGACTTCAAGCCCCATGGGGGGGGCGCAAGCAAAGAGAAGGAGAAGGTATGGAGGGTTAAATTGGAGAATTCTATACACATGACATGTATTAAAACAGAACAAAATCTACTGAATTTGCTCCAAGAAAGGGGAGAAGAGAAGTGATTGTAGGAGTGGGACACATTATATACATGGAGTACATCATGTTAACTCCATGGACTATAGGAAAACCTCACAGTGAAGCTCCTATGTACAACTAATTGATCCTAATTAGGGAGAGAAAAACTAAGTCTAAAATCGTCACAAAGAACTATAAACAGGTTTAGCAATCGGCATTCATTCGTAACTTTTGGCATCACATCTAGTTGTGGCACATATGCTTTTGTAATTGGTCCCCTGTCATATTCTGCTTGTGTCTCCATTAATTCCCACATTCTTAACAACAAAATCCAAGCCCAGATCAGAAACTACCTATCATTTTTTTCTATTAAAGATAACTGTGGTGGCCTCTACTTCATTTGCTTGACAATATGTCAGCCTAGCTCCTTCATTACCTAAGACAAATTTATTCCTTCTTTCCAAAGATACCAAAATAATGTCCTATTACTGTCTTTCAGAATCTGAATTTCAGTTTATTCCTTAATATCTTCTTCAATTATGTTCTGAGGAATCATCAGAATTACTGTTTATATTGAGAAGTAATTCCACAGTACATTTTATTATCAGTGAACAATGAGTTAAACATCCCAATGTGATTAAGCACTGTTGATTTCATATGTGATATTTAATGGTCAAGAAAGAGACTTCTTACATCAACTTGCCAACTTTGCAACTATTTGGACAATCTTTTGCCACATATACACAACAGTAAGTAAAGCAACAGCTCTGGAAAAGATATCTTTAAAAGTTTCTATCATGTCTGAGTATAAATGTACTCCCTTGACATCATAAAAATTTTTTTTTAAAAAATGTGATCTGGGTGCTGGTGGCTCACACCTGTAATCCTAGCTGAGATCTGAGGATCACAGTTTGAAGCCATCCCAGACAGGCCAATCCATGAGACATTTATCTCCAATAAACCACCAAAAAGCCAGAAGAGCTGTTGCTCAAGTGGTAGAGCAACAACCTTGAGTATGATAGCTTAGGGACAACATCTAAACCCTGAGTTCAAGACCCAGTATCAGCAAAATAAAAAGTAAAACTATGAAAGTTGTCAGGATCCCAAACGGAAGCACGAGTGTCAACTTTAACCCAAAAGAAGTTGGGGTGCTGGGAAGGTGGCTCAGTGGTAGAGCACTTGCCTTGCATGCCTGAGGCCCTGGGTTCGATTCCTCAGCACCACATAAGCAAAAAGAAAAAAGCCGGAAGTGGCACTGTGGCTCAAGTGGTAGAGCGCTAGCCTTGAGCTGAAGAGCTGAGGGACAGCGCCCAGGCCCAGAGTTCAGGCCCCACAAACGGACCCCCCCACCCCACCCCCAAAAAAAGAAGTAAAGTGGGCTGTCAGATACTAAGTAAGAGCACAAACACTGCCTGACAAACTGCAAGTTTGCAGAAAGGTCATCACAGCCTGGCACAAAAGGACCTCAGGAACCTCAGATTAAAACCACTACCACTGGGGCTAAGGATTACGGCTTCAAAATAGATGACATAATTTCCTCAAATCTGTCTTTAACAAGTCCCTCAACCTCAGTTTCTTTGAATAAATCCACCATTTACTATGACATGCATACTAGTCACAAATAGCTATCATTTGTGTTTAAAGAATCTGATTCCTTTAGATTAACAGGGAACCTGTGAAGCTCTGAATCAAATTAAGTCCTAAGATCAACTACTAAAGATCTTGAAAGTCATTAATAAAAATGGTGCTATTTCTTTTTTTTTTTTTTGGGGTCCAGTCGTGGGGCCTGAACTCTGGGCCTGGGCGCTGTCCCTCAGCTCTTCAGCTCAAGGCTAGTGCTCTACCACTTGAGCCACAGCACCACTTCCGGCTTTTTTCTTTTTTTTTTGCTTATGTGGTGCTGAGGAATCGAACCCAGGGCCTCATGCATGCAAGGCAAGCACTCTACCACTGAGCCATCTTCCCAGCCCAAATGGTGCTATTTCTAAATGAATAAAATTCCAACTATAGTCACTTACCAGCAGTTTGTCTGCTTAATCACAGACCTATTAACACTAACAAAGTACAGCCAATACAAGGTAACAGTAAAAGTAAATTTCCAAATAAAACTTTTAAATTCTCTACACATGCTATGCAGTTCAGTGGATGAAGAGGCTCAGTCAATCCCGAATCATTATCAAATTGCTGTGTTCTCAAAATCCACCCCTACAGAAGCAAGGGTGCTCAAAAAGGGTGCTCAATGTGCCTAATGACAGCAAATAAGTAAAAATTTGAAAAATAGCTTTCTTTAATGGAAGTTGGGCAGGGCGGGAAAAATGAATGCATGGCCTCAGTATAGCACTCAATTCTATGCAGGCTGCACATGTGGGGTTTCTACAGTGGTCTCCCTTGCACCACACAGCTGCAAACATCAAGGGTCTGCTATCTATTGGCATTTGTAGTATCTATGTTCAGTTTGTATTTGTGTATAATTTTCTTCCAAAATCCAGTATTTTTTATTTTTATTCTTGGGAATTTTTGTGTTGAATGCTAGGAATGAACCCAGTTAAGGTAAGCACTCTACCTCTGAACTACAACCCTACCTCTTAAAAACAGTATCTTTTGGAAAAAACAAAACACAACCAGAAATAGTGGTGTATGCTCATAATTGCAGCATTCAAGAAAATGAAGCAGGAATGCTTCTAGCTTAAGGCCAACCTAAGCTCTGCAGCCAATTTGATGGGGGTCATGGCAAGACCCAGTCTCAAAAAAAGAGTAAAATACAAATAAAAATACAAAGCCAAAACAAGATAAAAATCTTTGATTTTGCACTAACAAATGTGGAAATCATTTTACAAATTGATACTTACTTGAATAATTGTTGCCAAAATATTTACATAATTGCTCTCAGTCTGATAGAGCTCTTTTGCAACTTGCCACCTGGCTGACTGCTTTGAAGGAACTGGAGTAGAATTTTTGGAAGACTTAGTACAAGATTTAGGTGTATCTGAAAGTGTTTAATAAAAAACAAACAAACAGGTAAACACTTAATTGGAAAACAGATCTAAATACAAAATATTGTAAGATACAGATTTTTTATTAAAGCAGAATTAATCTCTCATAGGATAAAGGCAAAAAACAGAAGGGTTAAAAATATTACTATTCCAAATCAACATTATACTAATAAATAACTTAGGCTCTTCAGTAATGTCAATGTCATTAAAAAGGAAGGATTCCAAAGTAGAGGAAAATAGAAATAATTAACAAACTTTCTTTTGCCAGAAGTGAGAGTAAGCCATTAGTGAGAGAAGTAGAGAAATGAGAAATGTGCATGTTAATTTTTTCCTTATAATACATATAATTGTTATTTAAGAAATGCCTTAAAAGACTGTGATGGCATATGAGTTATAACCCCAGCATTCAAGAGACTGAGCAGGATAATTGTGGGTTTGAGGCCAGCATGAGCTACACATTGAGACTTTGTCTCAACACAATACGAGAGCTAGCACATAGCTTACTGGTATAGCACATGCCCAGCATGAACAGTTCAATTCCAGTATTAACAGGGTAAAAGACAAGAAAAAAGAAGTTCCTCTATACTTTCAGAAAGCCTTTTAGGTATTCTCAAATTTAGTGTGTGTGTATATGTATGTATATATGTGTGCACATGTGTTTATTGATGTGTGCTGAGAGTAGAAAAGACTTTAAAATTTTAAAGCAAGTATGGCAAAAACTTAGAGAACCTATATAAACATTAGTCTTTGTAAAGATAATAAAATGGAGAGCAACATGAAAAAACACTTAAGTTTAAAAAAAGAGAAGAGGGTTATGATGATTACTCGATTACAATAGTAGAAAACTATATACATATGGAGAAGGCCTCAAAAAAATAACCAACGTTGAATAAAAAGTTCTTTCTTTAGTTCAAAGTATCTTAATAGATTAGAGTGGCTGGTCATGCCTGTTTCAATAATTCCTTTTGTTCTCTAATTATTGGCCTAAACAATCTACTAAAAATAGGGGAGTGGCCAGATACCATGGCTCACTTCCATAATCTTAGCTATTCAAAGAGACTGAGATCTCGGGATCTTGTTTCAAAATCAGGCCAGGTAGAAAAGTCCATGAGACTCTTATCTCCAGTTAACCACCAAAAAAGTGGGAAGTGGAGCGATGGCTCAAGGGGTGCCAGGTTCAACCCCCAGTTCTGGCACAAAAATATAAAATAGAATTTTTAAAATAACTTTAAAAAAAAGACAAATATAGAGAGATAATAGGAACTATGTCAGTTCAACACAAAGTAAATTCACCCTCCTATGATTTTTTTTTTTTTTTGGGTCCGGTTGTGGGGCCTAAACCTGGCTTGGGCGCTGTCCCTCAGCTCTTCAGCTCAAGGCTAGTGCTCTACCACTTGAGCCACAGCGCCCAAACCGGAAGTGGTACTTTTTTATTTTGCTTATGTGGTGCTGAGGAATCGAACCCAGGGCCTCATGCATGCAAGGCAAGCACTCTACCACTGAGCCACCTTCCCAGCCCCCTCCTATGATATTTTTAAGCTAAGGTTAAGAATCTTTTTTGGTTACTCATAGGACTTGAACTCAGGGCCTAGGCACTGCCCCTGAGTTTTTTGTGCTCAAGGTTAGTACTCTACCACTTTGAACCACAGCTCTACTTCCAATTTTCTGGTGGTTAATTGGAGATAAGAGTCTCATAGCCTTTCCTGCCTGGGCTGGCTATGACCTGTGATTCCCCAATCTCAAAACCCCTAAGAAGTTAGGATTATAGGTGTGAGGCCACCAGCACCCGGCCTAAGAATTTGCTTTTTAAACAGTTCTTGTCATTCTTAACTGGACAAGTTACCTCTCTGTTCCTCAATTCAATCATCTGTGAAATGGAGATAATAAAATCTATTTAACAAATATACAAAATACATAAAACACTAAGCATGTAGTGAGACATCATCCAATGGAAGATTATGCTTAGTGCTTCCTGTCTTTTCTCCCCATTGAGAACAAAGGTATTAAAGGCAATTAAAGGCTTTTCATATTCATTGTAGTAAGGATTTACCTACATTTTAATAACCACTCTATATCATTAATCTTAAATTTTCATTTTTAAATGCCAATTACCTCCACAGTTAATGCTAGACTCTGGTGTGTTGGAGATATCTAAGAGTGACCCTATAGAAAGGGAATGTTCAGCAGATGGACGCTTCCGGGGAGGGAAAGGTGACATGTCTGTCTCTCTTGAGAGCTGAGCAAGTGTCTCTTTTAAACGACGTCTTTTGCGGTTGCTGTTTGGAGTATTTAGAGAAAGCAATGACACGGATTTTTTGAGCTCCGGAGTATGAGCCTACAATCAAAAGCACAAAGGATGTGTATTATTTCCCTGGTTCTTTACTGAGACAAAGAAAAATACATTTATAAGTCTGACAAAAACATGGAGTATGTACAATATGGTACCTACTTTAATACTTCACACTCTAAATCATTAATTTCCAAACTAAAACCTCAGAAAGACTGCTATTGTTTTAGTAAATGTCATTGCTCTTCATGTAGACCCAGCATGAAGGCTGGATTTTCAGGTTTCCATTCTTCTATTGACCATCTTTTTAAGGACATCTTCTCCCTTAGGATTCCCCATTATCCTAATGGATAAATCCTAACTCTTTAGTATATTAAAAACTTACTGATCCTGCCTATGTATTAAGTTTTAGTTTTATCTACAGGATTTCCCACACTAAACTACTTGCTATTTTAACACTATCGAACTTTTATAACCTCTCACCTATTGTTCTAACTTAAATGTCCTTTACCTGATTAGACTGGTATTGGCTTAGTTATTTGCCCTTCTCACTCCTGATTCAGTCTCTCAGAGTGAAGCTCTCTAGAACATACTTGCCAATAAAGTTGTAAGCTTCTAAACATAAGTCTCATTATTTATAATGGCATAATCAAGAATTACCAAAGAGAATGAACGTGTGTTATACTAAATTAAATGCATTGTTTCAATTAAATCTACATAGATTAAGGATTTTACTGGATATCTAGCTACTTAATTATTCTAAAAGCCCTAAACATATAATAAAATGTTATGTATACTAATACCAGGCTCACTAAGCCCAAACTATCATTTTTATATAATCAAAACAAATATGTGGGGATGGGGAACAAACCTGGGGGAGGAACATACCTTGTGATAAAAATACATAGTTTCTCCAGCACGGGCATCCATCTGAATGCTTCCCCAAAACCACTAGATGAGAGAAAGCATTTTAATTGAGAATTAACTTTAGCTTATGAGAGAAGTTATTAGTAACATTTGCTTATTTTTTATATCTAATTGCATTGACTTGCCTCTTGCTTGACAACATAAAGTTTCTTTGAAGGTTCAAATGGAAGTTCTTTAACTGTATTCTCTTCAACTATAAGGTGAGTGCATCTCTCATCTCCCACTGGTAAATAGTTACCTCCTAAAAGAGGAATGTGTATAAGCACAAGTAAGCCAAACTCATCTCTAAACCCCAATCTCTAGAGAAAATTAATTAGGAAAACATTAAGTAGGTCTGGGGAAAGAAATATAGAAAAGTTTTTAAACTACCTTGCATTTCAGTCATCTCTTCCATATTTGTCCTTTCTTCATCTGAAAATCCCAGGAAACTTAAAATGCAATCTTGAAATGGAGGAACTTTAAATTCATTTCTAAAGTCATCAACTGCTGCACAGAAATTCCTAAAAACAAAATACTTTTCTAAAACTAGCTTAACATATTCTATTATTTAAGTATATCAATTTGCAAGTCTGCAGTAATTCTCAAGGTCTCAACATAAGGTTACTGAAATACATCTGAATGAGGCAATGATGGCTCATGCCTGTTATCCTAGCTACTCAGGAGACTTGAGATCTGAGGATAGTTCATGAGACCCTTATCTCCACCAAAAAACCAGAACTGGAGGCGTGGGTCAAGGGCTAGTTGTGAGTAAAGAAACCATAGGAAGCCGAGCGCTGGTGGCTCATGCCTGTAATCCTAGCTACTCGGGAGGCTGAGATCTGAGGATGGCAGTTCAAAGCCAGCCCGGGCAGGAGAGACTGTGAGACTCCTATCTCCAATAAACCACCAGAAAACCGGAAGTGGCGCTGTAGCTCAAGTGGTAGAGCGCTCGCCTTGAGCTGAAGAGCTGAGGGACAGCACCCAGGCCCAGAGTTCAAGCCCCATGACCGGCAAAAAAAAAAAAAAAAAAAAGAAACCATAGGAAAGCATTCAAGCCCCAGTAGCAGAACAAAAAGAAATAAAGAAAATACATCTAGTTATGAAATGTTCACAAAAACTTGTTTTAAAAAAAAACTGTGGTTGAATGAGCCTTGAACTGAATTGTTCAGGGACAGCTCCCAGGCCTAGAGCTCAACCCCCACAACTGATAAGAAAAAAAAAAGAAAGAAAGAAAAGAAAAGAGAGATCTTTCATGCGATTATTTCTAACATATTTATAAGATTATGTCTTTGTTGCCTTGGATGTCCCTCCCCAATGGTATAACCCCTGCTTTCACTATATATGATGTTGGTATATGTGGAGGGGAAGGAAAAAAACAAATTGTTAAAACAGGGATACAGGAGGACCCATACGAAGGGATGGGAAGGGGAAACAAAGCAGGAGACTACGATGCTTGATAAGAAATGTGCTCATTATCTTACCCATGTAATTGTAACCCCTCTGTACAGTATTTTCACAATAAAAAAAAAAAACAAAAACTGTGGTTGAGAATATAGCTCAGTAGTAGCTTGTGCTTAACATATTAAGACTCTCTAGGGTCACAGCCTCTACGATGTATCTGTAAGTCATCCAGAAATTAACTTCTGAAAAAAAACGTTAGGATAAATATCTTTACAAAAAAATCCAAGCCCTAGCTAGATAGTGAAATTATACATGTATTCTAAAGGTCCATAATTTCACAAAATTATGTAATGATTTAGTACCACAGCAAGAACAGAAAGCATGAGATTGCAAAGCTTAGCAAACAAGGTAATGGTTTTACACATTAATTCAAATATCTCTACATACACACAAACAAAAAAAAGAACAATCTCAATACTCAGAGTCATTATTAGCAATTTTAGATTATTTATAACCAAAATTATTTCACAAAGCGAAATGAAACCCCAAGATATCTTAGATGTCTTTAATTTTTTAATTTAGATTCTACTCCCTAGCTACCCAAACACTGAATTCAGTTTTCTATATTATCTAGGAATTTAAGGGGATGGAGCATTTGTTATTGTTATGAGAAGTCTCACTATGTAGCACAAGTCAGCCTCAAATTCATCATCATCCTGCCTTAGCCTCCCAAATGCTGGGATTACAAGCACTCACCACCATGCCTGGCTAAAGAATTTAGTTTTAGGCACATGAATTTATCTTTCAAACATATGTTGAAAAAAGAAATTAATTGTATGTCCAATTCAAATACCAAATCACTGAACTTCTAAAAACTTACTGCTCATCCCGCCTTTCCCATGCTTTATAAATCCATTCTGGTTTCACAATTGGAGTACCCAGGCTCACAGCAACCTAGAAGTATTAACATTAAATATAATGAATTTTCATCTTAAATGACTGCATTTAAGTTACTCCTACATAATTACATACACACATTTTTCATACAGTTTTACATTATAGTTATAAAAGAAATGAATAGTAAGAACTGTCTCACAGTCAGGCACTGGTGGCTCACACTACGAGGTACTCAGACGAAATCAAAAAAGGATCTCAGATGGGAAGGGATGGGAAGGGGAAACAAAGGAGGAGGCAACAATGCTTGATAAGAAATGTACTCATTACCTCGCTCATGTAACGGTAACACCTCTGTAAGGTATTTTCACAATTAAAAAAAAAAATCTCACTTCCATATCAGCCAAATTGGTGAGGCTCCCCTTCCTTTCAGTGAATAAGGATTGGTTATGTCCAGAAAGGCCCAGGGAAAATATGTAACACAGGGCTTAGGACATGGCTCATGGAGAAGAATGCCCAGAGTTGAAACTCAGAGAAATAAATTTATTTAGATGATGGTTAACTAAAAACAATCTTTGATTAAGTGGACTGCCATGAAATTTCAATTTGTCTTTTGTTCCTGTTAACTTCCTTGGAAAATGACCAAAACAATGCCTACAGAAAAAAAATATATACATATATATAATATATACATGTATAATATATATACATATACATATATATAGCTGGGCACTGGTGGCTCATGCCTGTAATCCTAGTTACTCAGGAGGATCTGTGGATCGTGTTTCGAAGCCAGCCCAGGAAAGTCAGGAGGAAAGTCTGTGAGACCCGTATCTCCAATTAACCACCAGAAAACCAGAAGTGGCACTGTGGCTCAGAGGTAGAGTGCTAGCCTTGAGCAAAAGATGCTCAGGGCCTAGAGTTCAAGCTCCAGGTCTGGCAAAAAACAAAAGAGTAGAGTAGAGTAGAAAAGAGGAGGGGAGGGGAGGAAGGGGAGGAGAGGGGAGGGGAAGAGAAATCTGATTAAGTCACTTTAACCTTAGACATGAATTAAAAAATTTACCTAGGGCTGGGAAGGTGGCTCAGTGGTAGAGCGCATGCCTTGCATGCCAGAGGCCCTGGGTTCGATTCCTCAGCACCACATAAAAGAAAAAAGCCGGAAGTGGTGCTCTGGCTCAAGTGGTAGAGCGCTAGCCTTGAGCTGAAGAGCTGAGGGACAGTGCCCAGGCCTAGAGTTCAGGCCCCATGACCGGACCCAAAAAAAAAAATTTACCTAAAATTAACATCCACTACATAATGACACTGAGGAAAGTGGGAACAAATGACAAATCTGCAGTAGTATTAACCACAATTCTTAGGACTACAGGAATGGCTTAAGCGATAGAGAGCCTGCCTAGCTACAGTGAAGTTCTGAATTCAAACACCACTCTGCCAGAAAAATAAACAAAGTTTTCAGGTGGGCACAGTGCTGTAATCTCAGCATCTGAGAGTGAAGCAGGATGATTGCAAGTTCAAGGCCAGACTGGGGCTGCTGAAGGCACAGCGCAAGTGATAAAAGCTATGCCTAGTAGGCACAAGATCCTGAGTTCAAACTTGTTCTTTTATAAATTTTACAAGCTAAATCACAGATTGTTTATAAAAATAGAACTCTGCTCTTACAAAACTTACTTAGACAAGGCTGAAAACCCTTCTCACAGATCCCAATGCCCTCATAACCAAAGCAAAGCATCTTTGCTCATGCTATACATATCCCAACCAATAACACTACTCATACTACTACCTCCCTCCAGCTCTACTGCCTTCGTAAAAATATACAACATGAATTATAATTTTTACCACGTATACTGAAAGCCAAAGTGACATTTCTTATCCTCAGTAAACATAGAAAAGCAGACAAGTAAGTGATACTCAACCCATTCTAAAATAATATTATACATTGAAATATGCAAAAATGTCATGTTTACATACCCGGAATTTTTCTCCTTCTGTACAGTTTGCCACCAAATGTGTAACTTTTGAATTAAAGTCTTTTCTAATAACTCCACCCATATGATGAACTAATGTCACCAATCTGACCTCAAAAGAAAATTGAGCAATATTTCATTAATTTGAATAAAATTTTAAATAATTTACAATTCACACAGCACTTGCTTCTTTTTAATGTGCAAGTAAGATTTTTATAAAGATACTAAATTTTATGTCAACTTCTTAAGATTATTTTGTCACAGGCAAAATTGTATATAGAAATAAACTTAATATAAATTATTCTAGAAAATTAAGGTAATTAAAGAACTGGCTTTCATAATTCCTAAATGTACCACTCATTTTAATAACACTATATTTCCTAAATATCTTTTTATACTACTATAACATCAAGATTCTGGCCACAAAATTACTGTAGTATTCATGAATTCTAATATACAAAACACTGTGAAGCAAAAATAGTTTCAATGGCTTATCTGGGGGAGTAAGACTACTACCTTAAAGCTAGACTTAGATATTTAAACACAAAGTTCAAATTAGTAATAGAGCTGGTTAAGCAGATCAGTTAAGAAGATCAGATAATTAAATCATAAACCAGTCATTCTGGACAAAAACATTTAGCTCTTTACAATGCTCTTAAGAATTTGTTTTTTTTTTCAAAATATTTAGAACTTGATATAGTCGCAATACGTTCTCCTTAAATATTTGTAAAATAAAGTCATAATGCCAAATAATAAAGCCAATTTAAACAAGCCAATTAATTTAAGGTTTTTGTTTTGAAAAACAAAATCCTTTGAGATTGTGTTTTGTAATTAATACTTACTAGCTCTTCTTTCTTCCTGAATCCAGTAAAGCATAAAACTAGATTCATCATACTTGTACAGTACAGCGGCCGACATGAAAATGGCAAAGGCTGAGGATACAATTTTCAATCTGTGAGCTTTCTTTTCAGTAAAAATTAGAAGACATCTTTTTCAAGCTAAAAGTATTTCTCCTCTTACAAATCAACTTCACCCCTTTAAAACTTTACTTGCATTTCTAATATGCAACAACGACAAAACAACAAAAATTCAGATCACAAATTTCAGATTAAAAAAAATTCCTAGGCAGGTGTGGTAATGCATGCCTGTAATCCTAGTATTTGGGAAGCTGAGGTAGGAGGATCACATGGTTGAGGCCAGCCTGAGCTACACAGTGAGACTCTAACTCACAAAAGAAAAAAAGCCAGCATGGGTGGTTCACGCCACCAGTTACTTAAAAAGCTGAGATTTGAGAAGCACAGTTGAAAGCTAACATAGGCAGACAAATCTGACTCCCATCTCCAATTAACCGCCAAAAAAAGAAAAAGAAAGAGAGAGGGAGAGAGAGAAAGAAGGAAGGAAGGAAGGAAGGAAGGAAGGAAGGAAGGAAGGAAGGGAAGGCAGGCAGGCAGGCAGGCAGGCAGGCAGGCAGGCAGGCAGGCAGGCAGGCAGGCAGGCAGGCAGGCAGGCAGGCAGGCAGAAGTGAAGCTGTGGCTCAAGTAGTAGAATATCAGCCTTGAGTGAAATAGCTAAAGGACAGCACTTCAGTGTCCCTAAGTTCAAGCCCCAGTTGTAGCAAATAAATATTTCCCCATGATTCCTCAAATATATTTTATTTTCTAAGCATATTTTACAACTAGAAAATTCAACATGAGGAAAGTATCTAAATTTTTTATTCCAAAATACACTCTGGCATACATTAAATAACTGTAAGCAAAGAGTTATAGACTCATATACTACTACAAATGCTTTCAATTAATATTATAAAACAAATTAAAACATTTAAATGAATTAATAAAACAATTAATAAAAATAATAAATTTAATAAATTTAAAATAATTAATAAATATCAAGAAATTTAATAAATTTAAACCAAATAGGATTCCCAGTCTTGAAGTTAAAAAAAATGGAGATGTTTAACATAATCATTGACTATGAGTGAAGTATTAATAAATGAAGCCCATGACCACAAATACATTCTAGAAATTCTGGAAAATGCAAGCTAGTTCTTCCTAAGTCTAATCTTACACAGATCACTTGAATTTATAGTAATCATAGGTAAAAATCATTCACAGGCCTCATAAATTAATTCACCTATTTTTATGAGTATTAAAGGTTTTCATGTGCTCTGGCATCTGTAACAATAGACACAAACTGACAATAAAAAGGCAAGCTTAAAAATGGCAAAACCGGATGGGAAGGGGAAACAAAGGAGGAGGTAACAATGCTTGAAAGAAATGTACTCATTACCTTGCCCATGTAATTGTAACCCCTCTGTACGGTATTTTCACAATTTAAAAAAAAAAGGCAAAACCTAAATAACTAAAGAACAGTTTAACAAAATGAATACCAGGAAGCAGAAACGTGTTTGGGAGGAGTAATGGGGAAAACACAAATGGAGGAAGGATGGGAAAATGCAGACATTACAATTGATATACATTATATAAAAACTGAACTATGTAAAACTTGATGGTAGGGATGAGAGGGTAAAATGGTTCTCTCATTATGAATGATGGTCATTCTTGTAATCCTAGCTACTCAGGAAGCTAAGATAGGAGGATCTCAATTAAAAAACAGCCAGAAAACAAAAGTCCATGAGAAGCCGGGCATAATCCTAGCTATTCAGGAGGCTGAGATCTGAGGATCATGGTTCAAAGCCAGCCCAAGCAGAAAAGTCCATAAGACTCCAATTAACCACCAAAAAATACCACCAGAAAACACAAAGTGGCACTGTGGCTCAAGTGGTAGAGTGCTAGCCTTGAGCTAAAGAGCTCAGAGACAGCTACCAGGCCCCAGAGTTCAGGCCCACAACTGACAAAAAAATAAATTAAAAAAAAAAAAAAAGTTCAGGAGACTCTTCTGGCCAATTAAGCACCTGAAAAAAGATAGAAGTAGAGCTGTGCTCAAGAGTGCTAACCTTGAGCAAAAAAAAAACTCAAGGACAGGACCCAAACCCTGAGTTCAAGCCTCACGATCAAAAAAGATGTAGTAGACTCACAGCCTGACTTACAGAACTGAAACCCCTTTATACAACTACTAAATAAATAAACAAACGTGCAAAACCATGGTGTTGGGAAAGATGGAGAATAATAATGGAAGCAGTGATACTGATCAAGATGCACTGCACTCATAACTGACATTGAAATGAAACCTCTTTTGTACAACTACTTTAAGGTACTAACAAAATGGCAAAAGTAACAAAACTACATAGGAACTAATCATATTGAAATGTTTAAGATAGGTTCCTAATTCTAAGCTAAGCAGCAACTGATAAAAATGAGAATGTATTTTCTGTTCTATATGGGGAAAAAAGAAACATGCTATGTTATCTCTTTCAAGACACTACAGATAGTAAGAATTATGTTACACTTACTATTTCACATTAAAAAGCCTTAAATTTAAACTACTAAAGTTTATAATGGGAATTAAAGGAATATGAACAATGGCTGTTATTCTTCTTGTAAGTCTTGCATACTCTCAATAATTTCAATAAAATCTGTTCATTAAAAACTTAACCTTGAAAAGTAATAATAAATATATATATACATTGTTCCTTACCTCTCCCTTTTGTGCACAGCTTAAAAGAACAGGTGGTCCAATAATTCTACAATCAGCCTTGTGTAAGTCATTAAAGACAGAATCCTGGAAGTCCGGAACCACGAAGACATTCTCAAATTCTGGGGAATCCAAACCTTCAAGTTCATTCACTGACTCCATCCTTGCATAAGACATTTGCGTTTCCTTCATTTTTCCCCATATAGTGATTGGAAATAAAAATAATTTATAGGCCAAATAAATCAAATCTCTTGCATAGCAACATTTTCAACATCATTAGATTTAGAAAACTCACATATTCAATCGTGATAATCAACTTTACATGTAAAAGCCCTGATTTCTTCATCCACTTATATTTTTCCAAAAAATCTTGTCAATCCACATTAAAATCTTTTTGCTGGTCTTGGGGTTTGAACTCAGAGCCTAGGCACTGTCCCTGAGCCTCTCTGTGCACAAGGCTAGTGCTGTACCACTTGAGTCACAGTGCTACGTCCAGCTTGAGTAGTTCATTGGAGATAGGAGTCTCACAAGGACTTTTCTGTCCAAGCAGGCTTTGAACTATGATCATCAAAGACCTTAAATTTAAAGATTATTAAAGGGACAAACTTCTGATGATAGTAGTATGATAGTAGTAATCCCAAATATCATCTAGTATGCATATTAAGCCCTAGAAAATTAAAATGCTGTAATTTTCTTAAGTATGTACATTTGGACAGTAGAGTACAGTAAATGTAACCCACCTACATTTCTTCCTGTACAAATTAAATATCCTCAGAAAAAAATTCTAATAAAAATAACAGCACATAATATTTGTAAAAAGGTTTTAATCTAAATGTGCAGAAGAGAAAGATGTGAGGTGTACAGGCAGTTGTAGGTTAAAGAAAATTACTGATAGTGACTCACAGTTAACACTTTATACTATGTACCTAGAAAGAAAGAATGAAGACACAAAACAGCCTACTTAATTCCAGAGTAAAAAGAACAAGGGGGAAAAACTGGATAGATGTGTCAATTATTTGTGCCTAATATGCATGAGGGCTGAGTCTCAGCCCATTGGCCTCTCAGCACTCCAAACCACAAATGAAGAATGAAGCCTCATTTCAGAGGGGAGTGGATCTGGAGATAAGGGCTTCAAGCAGGTAATTAAGATCTATGAATGGAGCTCTAGACCAATTTCACTAGTATTCTTACAAGAAATTTTGACTCACAAAATAACAGCAGAGATGTCCAGACACAGAAGGGGCTAGGGGGTGTCGGGAAAAGCTCCATGAGGACTCCACAACAAGCAGGAAGCCACTGGCAAACCAAGATATAAGGCCTCAAGAAACAGTAACTGACACCTTCTTCTTGGACTTCTAACCTCCAGAACTGTGAGAGTAAATTTCTTCTTAATCTGGTCACTGTTATTTTTTTCAAGCAGACTGAGCACACTCAGCTGAGACGTGAGGTGAACCTCAGTGGAGAGTGCCTGCCCAGCTGGCACAAGTATCTTTCATACACTGAAGCAAATTTGTGAGAATTATCACTTACTATGCTTTGTGATTTCAGAAAAACAGATAATATATAAATATATAATAAATATTAAAATATATAAACATGTAAATAAATATACAATCTATAATAAGTATAATAATATAAAATTAAAGAGGGAAAAGAAGCTTAAGAGTGTAAAGAAAATTAGCCTGGTACTAGTTGCTCAAGTCTATAATCCTAGCTACTCAGGAGGCTGACATCTGAAGATCATGGTTTGAAGCAGGCTCAGCCAGGAAAGTACATGAGATACTTATCTCCAATTACTCATCAAAAAGCTGGAAGTGGAGCTGTGGCAAATGGTAGAGTTCCAGTCTTGAACAATGAAGCAAGGGACAACACCCAGCCCCTGAGTTCAAGTCCCAGTACTGGCATAGAGGGGGAATAGGTTTAAAGACAACTACCTGATCCTGTACATTCTGAGTCATTTAAATTTAGTAATCAAGTTCTTTAAATGATGGAATTATTTCAAATAGATAGTATAGTTTTGGGTTTCAGGTATACCCAAAGTTTAAAACTAAGTTTAAAATAGTTTCTCTTTGTCTAGTTTCAAAATACACAGAATATACCCAGGCCTAATTCCAATCACCATCAGTGGAACGAGTTGATTAAGGGAAGTGCAGCATGCTACATGCAATGAGAGTGTCACCTACCATGGTAACAATACTTTTTACTAACTTTTCATCCGCTTTTCCAGGACAACTTTCTTTTATCTTTATAACAGGGATTTCCATTATTTTAATAGTCTGTGAAAAAGAGACTTATGTATAAGATTAAGAAGGTGATGAGGGAAATTATTAAACACTGATGGGGCCAAAAAAAAATCTTTTTTAAAAGTAAATTGTTAATCAAAACTCCATACCTCTAGGGCTTTTACAAGTTCTTCCTGTTTTCCAGCTTCTTGAACCATTATCACTCGAGTTTCAACCTGAGGCATTTCTTCTATTAAAATGTAAAATGTTTAAATATGTTAGTCAAGTACTAAAAACATAGTAATTGCTTCCTCAGCTTCTGGCTATATAGTAAGCCTTCTATCTTTGAGATGATAACATTCTCAAAAATTGAAATGACATCAGTCCTAATTTAGATAGAAATATCTGGCCATACTCATGTTAGAAAATATATTGTGACAGAGTAAACAAATATCAATAGCCCTTTTCTTCCAAGTGCATACACTCTCAGGAAGTTATCCCATTTGCAAAGAAGAAAGGGCACTTAGCCAGTCAGGACTGAATAAATTCTAGCTTAATTGTGCAGCCAGAATTTCTATGCACCACTGTACAAAAAACGAAGCAGAATCAGCAGTAAGATGTTCCCTTCTTTTCAAAGTTAAGGAACATTAATCTAAACAATAAACAGAAAATCTGAATAGCAGAGAATGATACTATCATATCTACTTAATATCTATGCTTCTAACTATTTTTATTACAATTACACCCTAAGAAAATCAACAGTAAGTTCAAGATTCAAACAGTAATTCAGGGTTTTCAGAGCAGATAGTAAGCCCAGTATTTAGGAGGCTGAGACAGGAAGATCAGGTGTTCCAGGCCAGCCTGCACCATATAACAAAGACCTTAGTCTCAAAAGCAAGCAACATAGATAATAACAGGTTTTACCTTCAACATTTGAGGCAGATCCAATATACAAGTTTTCCTTAGAAGCGTCAACAACTTTAGCCTCAAAAATAGAACAGTCTGCCAAGTAAGTCCTTCCCAAGGTCGATATTGATATACTATTGTCAGCCATTGTTTTCTATGTTGGCTAAAAAAAGAAAATACATGAAAAAGAACATGATCATTGGGCAAAAATAAGCATTACAGGGCTGAGAAGGTGGCTCAATGGTAAAATGCTTGTCTTGCATGCATGAGGCCCTGGGTTCGATTCCTCAGCACCACATAAAGCAGAAAAGGCTGGAAGTGGCACTATGGCTCAGGTGGTAGAGCTCTAGCCTTCAGCTGCAGAGCTGAATGGTGCCCAGGCCCAGAGTTCAGACCCCACAACCGACCAGGAAAAAAAAAAAAGCATTACAGGCAAAAAAAAAAAAAGCATTACAGTTTTTTTAAAAAATATATCTACAGTAGGTAAGAAGTACTATCCTTAAAAAAAAAAGTCACTCTATTTCTCCTGAGCTTTGGTTTCGCCTCCTGTAAAAATGTTAATATCAGAAATTACAGAAATATAGTGAAAAATAACAAAATAGATCACAGTAACACAGATCAGACATAATATGCATCCATTTCTATTACTATGTCTATTATTTATAGCACCATAACACCTACCACCATCAATAATACCAACAAAAACTTACCATTCTTACATTGCCTTATTCTCCCTTCCCAAATCTCAAGTATCTCCAGGACCTAGCCTCTTTTTCTCTCTGCCCAACGCCACAATATGGGCACTTAGGCAAACACAACCTGAAACAAGTTTGAGGTCAATTTCTTCAGCAATCTCTCTCTCTACCTGATTTTTAGGTATGGTTCTAAAAGTAAGTAACTATCACTCCTTTAACTCCAAAGAACACCCTTTCCAATTCTACATTGTTTAGTTTAGTCCACCCAATTCTATATTGGTTACAGTTTAGTCCCTTCCAATTCTCCCTTAAAATCCACCAGTCCACATACCAGGTATATTGGAGCAACAATGTAGCTCTCAGCATTTCTGAAAGACAAGTTACAATGTACGTCACAACTATTTGTATTTAAGGATTCTCTACCTAGCAAGTCTTCTAACTTTTGATCTACCACTCTCAACTTACTCTGCATCAGAACTTCTGATACAGAACTTCTGAGTTAGAACTTCTGCTTTATTGTCAGTATCATATTAATTTACAAACATCTCTCCTTATCATTTGACAATTTAGTATGAGTTAGTGCCAATATAACTCTGGTCTATGAAAGAAAATAAACTTTAAGACTTTTGGGACTCGGAAAAGTTGAAATAAGGCAAGTAAAGAATAGAGAGAATGTTTAATTGGTTTTCACCAGTTGGAGCATTGGAGGTATAGCTAAGATGTAGAGTGTTCACCTAGCATGCCTGAGCCCCCAGAACTCAGAAAAAAAAAAAGGGGGGGGTGGAGTGCTAATATTAGTTGATTAACTGGAAGTAAATTCCTAAAATATTCAATAAGTTTAAACTAATATAACAAGGAAGACTCTTCTTTACCTGGAGGTACACTTATGACCTACCCTTTTCCTATTTCAGGGTAATAAAACATACAAATAATTGTTCCATTCTTAGTAAAGAAAGAGTTCCAGCTGGGTGTGGGAGCTCACACCTGTTATCCTAGCAAATGAAGAAGCTTAAATCTAAGGATTGCTGTTCTAAGCTAGTATGGGCTGGAAATTCCATGAAACTTTTATCTCCAATTAGCAATCAATAGGCTGGGAGTGGAACTGCTGCTCAAGTGAGAGAGCGCTAACTTTGAACTACAAAACCCAAAGACAGAGCCCAGGCCCTAAGTTTAAATCCTAGGACCAACACAAACAACAAAAAGTTCCAGCTGAATGCTGAGGAGAAACACTAAGGTATGAACAGCATTTCTGAATGGTGATATGAGGGATTGTTACATGCACACACCGACCTACAACAGTTGTAAAGTTTTCAGTTAGGCAACTTGGCTTCCTGTCTCAGTTCTGTATTTAGTAGATTAACTATCATTGTCTAGATGGATAAAGCAGTCTAACTAATACAATTCAAATCCAGTTGTGATGAAAACTAAATACATTTCAAAAAAAAAAAAAGAAGGAATCGTTCTCATGTAACATTCACAACGTGGATACTGCTTCTTCTTACAATGCGTGCATAATCACTATTCTAAGGTCCTCCAAAGGAGAGCAACAAGGATTTTAAGAGTCTTCATTCAGAGTTAACAACAAATTCAATCTAGTCCTTATTTTAAATCTCCTAAATTTAATCATTTCCAAGGAATGAGAAAAGGCTCTAAAAAGCTTTCAAAGTTCTCTTTTAAAAAAAAAAAATGTTTACAGGCATTGCACCTGTAATCCTAGCTACTCAAGAAGCTAACATCTGAGGTTCACAGTTCAAAACCAGCTCAGGCAGCAAAGTCCATGAGACTGTTACCTCCAATTAAAAACCAAAAAGCTGGAAGTGAAGCTAAGCCTCTCAAGTGACAGTGACAGCCTTGAGAGAAGAGAGAGAGAAAAAAAACAGGGACAGTGCCCAGGACCTTAGTTCAAGCCCCAAGACTGGTGGTGCAGGCCAACATTCCGGAAGCAGTAGAAAGTGTGGGTTATATAGTGAGAATCTGTCTCAAAACTCAAGTGATATGACAAACTCAGAGATATGCACCAATGTGCTTTAAGCACTGGGAAAAAAGGAGGGGCTGTCTAGTAAGCCCAAGGCCCTGAGTTCAAACTCCAGCACCACCTAAAAACAAAACCCAACATTCATAGAGGTTAGCTATGAAAACTCACTTCCAATGTTCTACAGTATAGCAGGGTAACTACCACTGACAAAACTTGTGTATTTTAAGTAGTAGATAGGATTTTGAATGATCTTACAGAACGATAAATGTTTGAAGAAATACACTAATTACCTGACCTGATCATCACACATTGTATACCTGTATTTAAATGGAACATGCCAGCCCAGGCACTGGTGGCTCATACCTCTGTAAACCCAGCTATTCTTGGGAGGCTGGGATCTGACAATTACAGTTCAAAGCCAGCCTAGGCAAGAAAGTCCATGAGACTCTTTACCACCAATGAACCACCAGAAAAGTGGAAGTGGTGCTGTGGCTCAAAGTGGGAGCTAAAGAGCTCAAGAACTGGACCCAAGCCCTGAGTTCAAGCCCCAAGGCCAACCAAAGAAAAAAAAAATAAATTAAATTTAAAAAATAGAACAAGCCTGAGGTTGTAAATCAGTAATAATGTGTTTAGCATGCAAGGGACACTAGATTCAATCCTGAAAAGAATCAAAAGAAGAGAAAGAGGAAGATGAGGAAGAGCAAGAGAAGGAAAGATCTGACTATCCCCCAAACCTTTTACAATACTATTTATATTTTCCTATGCTTCCTTCTTTAAAAAGCATCAGTGATTAACACAATTAAAATTGTTTTCTACGTATATCAATTTATTCTGAAAACAGATCTCAAATTTCTACAGACATAATTCAACATAATATCCAACCATCCAATTTCAAACTGGAAAACACCAACCATTTCCCACATTCTTGTACTCTAGCAGCTTCTAAAATAAGCACAGTAGGATATGGATTCCTGAATCTACTCAATTCACCCAATGACAAGACTTCATGGGGCTTTAGATGAAACACAACACATGGACCTTTTAAAACAAACACTTGCTTTACTTTTTCCCTTTAAATCGGTTCATTTAGCTACCTTCCAGGAGGAAGAACCAAAATGTCATTCATTGTGGGGCGGCTGGGGAGGTGACTGGCACCAACATCAGGACGATACAAGAAATCAGATCGCCAGAGGTTGGTTAGGTGTGCATGAATGGGAACGTACAGTTTTGAGCAGATCTTGGGCTCTGATGACAGTCAGCACGTAGTTACAGCTTAACGTGTGGCAGACACCGACTGATCTCTTTTATGGTACTTTATTTCATCTCGGTGCTCGTTAACCCCGAAACCATACACAGGTGGGGCAGGGGAGGGGCCTGATGGGCGGCCTGGATTCAGGAATGGAGTCTAGGGACACCTCCCGAGTTATCTCCGGACCTAGGCGCCGCTGACCCTGAGGCTTTCCATTTAAGGCTAGCGCTCAACCACTTGAGTCACACAGCACGGTCTTTTTATTGGGGGTGGGCGGGGGGGTGTGAAGGGGACGGGGTGGATGCAGTTCATTGGAGATCAGAGTCTCACGGACTTTTCCTGCCCGGGCTGGCTTTGAACCACGGTCCTTCAGATCTCAGCTTCCAGGGTAGCTAGGATGACAGGCGTGAGCCACCGGCGCCCGAAGTCAGAAGCAAAATCTGAACCAATAAATCCAACTTCCCCCCACCCTCCTCCCAGGGACGAAACTCCCCCCGAGGGCCCAAAGGCCGCAGGCGTCCCCGGGGACGTCCCGAGGCCCGGCCGCCCGCCACACCCCTCCGCACACCGCGCTCCCGCCCCGCGCGCGCCCGCCCCGCGGGCCGGGGGACCGGCCGTCCCGCCACTGCACGCCGCGGGTGGGGCAATCCGAGGCCTTCAGGCCCGGCAATCTGAGGACCTCAGGCCCGGCAATCTGAGCGTTTCAGGCCCGGATCCCACAGCCGGGAAGCCTGCGCCGGGACTCCCGGAAAGCGCGGTCTCCCACCGGGGCGAGGACGCTGACCGCAGGCCCACGGGGCCCGTGGCTCTGAGGACGTCGCCCGCTCACTCCCGTACACCACACCACACCACACGGACCTCACCAATCTGAGGGGCGGAAAAACAGTCCTGGGAGACCGGCTTCCTTCAGGGGTGCAGCCCGCTGCCGGAGACTGCCTTCTTCTCCAACTCAAAAAGCGAGCGGCGCCCTCCCACAGCCATGCCAATTGGCGCGTGAGGTCAGCTTCCTCCCCATAGGCCCGCGGCTCCAGGACGCCGCTGATTGGTCGTCGCTCAACGCCCGCCTCCCTACAGAGGGACGACTGATTGGTGGAGCGTGTGTTTCAAATGAGCCCAACGGCTGGAAATGTGGAGACGTCGCAGGTTCACAGAGAAGTAGCCCGGATGTGGCCACGAGGTGGCGGTGTTGATATCTGGGGAAGTTGCAGGTGTCTCCGTGGCTACCGCTGTTTACCGGGTAAACAGACCCTTTCCCGCGGAGGACCATCAACCTCCGGCTTGCTTGCTATTTTTTTAAGTACCATTGTATCCTTTGCAATTTTTAATATTTCTAGGATTTTTCTAAAATATCTACTCCCTTGCATTAAATAATAATAATAATAATAATAATAATAATAATGGGCAACACGATCGGTTGGAGCTCCGAGTTTTTTAAGGAAAAAGCTTCCTGGTGTCCCCCTCCCCCTCCGTGGGAAAGTTCACTCTCCTCTAAACTCCAGCCAAAGAATGTATGGCTTTTTATCTTGTGACTAACATTGCTAGTATGAAAACAATTCTTTGTTCACCTTCTCAACATGCAACACAATTACAAGAATATATAACAATCTGTTTAAAAACAATTTTTTTTTTTTTGGCTAGGTATGATGGTCCAAGGCCATAATCCCAAAGCCAGGGAAGCTGAAGCAGGAAGATCAGGAGTCAGAAGTCCATCTGGACAGGCACCATAAAATAAAATAAAATAATCCCCTTCTGCGGGTGACTCTTGCCTGATTGTTGATTTAAAACCCTAAATCTTCAAAATACTTTGAACTGAATACTTAAGATTTAAACAGGTTCTTGGGGGGGGGGGGGGGGAGGAATGTTGGTTTTGTTGGGGTTTTTATGGTTTTTGTTTGTTGTTTTTTTTTTTTAATTGATTTGAACTTGGGGCCTTGGCACCGCTCCTGAGCTCTTTTGCTCAAGGCTACTGCTCTACCACTTTGAGCCACAGCCACAGAAACTTCCAGTTTCTGAGTGGTTAATTGGAGATAAGTCTCATGGCGACTTTTCTGCCCTGGCTGTCTTGGAACCAATATCCTCAAATCTCAATTTTTGGATTATAGGTGTGAGCTACTAGCACCCGATTCTTGGAGATTTTTTTCTTACAGCTTCCTCATTTTTTTAAACAAACACAGAGTGCCTAAAAAGTTTATCATGCAATCCACAAAATGAGTGAAGTGGTCTATAATCCTGATTTTTTTTTTTTTTTTTTTTACTTGACAATGTTTATAGGCTGCTATTCATTATACTACTGTAATAACTGTTAGGGCAAAAGAAAAAGAAAGATAGATTTGAAATTTTCCTTTGGATTGTGCTTGCATACTTAAACGTGGGTGTACCCAGCATTCCAAAAATTCTCATCCCTGAAAATCTATTCAGCTACTGTGGAAAGCAGCCTACTTCCTTTGTGCTCTGCTAGAACTGGGCTTTCTGCCCAGATCTAATGGTGGATTATATGTGGTATCACTGCAGGAAAAAGCTGTACATGATTTATCTCAAAGGATATGTGGCAGTTTATCTAGCAAACAGCAAAAGCAATCACCAGTCTCTGGTTTCAGGTTTTCATTTTTTCAGTAAAGTAGTGTGTGTGTGTGTGTGTGTGTGTGTGTGTGTGTGTGTGTGTGTTTTCAGTCCTGGGATTTGAACTCAGGATTTTGCCTCTTGCTAGGCTGGCACACCGCCACTTGAACTATAGCTCTAACCTTGCTTTTTGCTGATTATTTTGGAAGTGGAGTTTAGGAAACTTTTGCTCAGGGCTAGCCTTGAACTGCAGTCTTCCAGATAAGAGAGATATGAACCTCACAGACTTTCCTACCTGGGCTGGCTTCAAACCTTGATCCTCAGATCTCAGTCTCCTAAGTAGCTAGGAGTCTAGGAATAAGCCACTAGTACTAAGTGCAAATTTTTGTGAATTGTAAGGTAACCATTGAAATTTCAGGAGTACAAAGATGAGTCAGGAATAGATACCTGCCTCTCAAGTCCCCACAATCCTGTTAGGGAGAGTAGTGAGTAAATAAATAGTTACAATGCAGGGGAGGGAAGGAAAAAAATGGTTGTACATTTCTAGATTACTAAGCACATTACATTATTTAATTCATTAAGAAAGCCAATGAGTAGACATCATGAAGCCTCATATTTGAAAACATTAGGAAAGATCTGACTTTTTTAGTACATATATGTTTTAATATATTAATTTTATTATTAAGGTGCTGTACAGAGGGTCACCATTTCATGTCAGGTATTGAGTACAATTCTTTTTGGACAATGTCTTTTTGCACAATGTTTCCCCTTCCTGTCCCTGCCCACAAATTCTGTAGTTCATTTTCCACATAGTGTATGGATATACAATGGATATACTATAACTGCATTTGTTCACCCTTCTTTGTCCATTTCTGTGCCCCTCCCTTTTTTGTGTGCTGGTACTGGGTCTTGAACTCAGGGCCTGGGCACTGACTATAAGCTTTTTTTTCTCAAGGCTAGTGCTTTATCACTGGAGCCACAGCTCCACTTCTGGCTTTGGGGGGTTAGTTAAAGATAACAGTCGTATGGACTTTCCTGCCTGGACTGGTTTCAAACTTTGATCCCCAGATGCCAGCCTCCTGAGTACCTACACTTGTGAACCACTAGAGTCCAGCTTCATTCATGAAAAGGAAGGAGACCCTGGCAGCAAGGAGACTGTTGTAACAGTCCAGGAGTCATGGTCCTAGGCTCATGAACAAGGAACTTGGTAATTTAAAAAAGAAGAAAATGGGAAAGGTAGGATGAACAAAAAGTTGAAGATTGCTGGACTAGCAGACACAGGAGAATCATATAAAGTTCAATGAGAAGACAGGTTTCTATAATTGGTAGCATGCTGTGGGAAGCTGTCATTATAGCAAGAAGTAGTGTATTCTCAGAAGCCCCTGCCCTTGTTCCTCCAGGAAATAAAATTATTAGAGTGACTATGAACACTAGTCTATCCTGGACTGGTGCTAGATTACAGCCCTTAAAGGATTGCTATCCAATTAGTTTATATTTTGCAATGATTTTAGGAGTTTTAAAAATAGTGCTACTCTGTGGGGCTCCAGTGGCTCTTGCCTGTGACCCTAGTTATTCAGTAGGCTAAGATCTGAGGATCACAATTCAAAGCCAGCCCATGGGCAAGTTTATGAAACTCTTATCTCCATCCAACTACCTGAAAACCAGAAGTGGAGCAGCTGTGGCTAAAGTGGTAGTATTCTAACCTTGTGCACAAATACTCAGGGACTGACTGCACCTAAGCCCTGAGTTCAAGCCCCAGGACTGGTACCCTCCCCACCCCCCACAGAAAAGAAAATAATGCTACTCAAAATATGATCAGAAGCCAGGTGCCAGTGGCTCATACCTGTAATCCTACCTAGTTAGTAGGCTGAGACCTCAGGATCTCAGCTGAGATCTGAGATCAGATTCCAAAGCTAGACCAAGAGAGAAAGCTCATGAAACTCTTCTCTCTAACCACCAAAAAGGTAAAGTGGGGCAAAAAGACAAAATGGAGCTGTAGCTTGAGTGGTAGAGTGCTAGCCTTGAGTAAAGAATACTCAGGGACAGAGCCCAAGCCGAGTTCAAGCCTGGGGCTATCATATATACATACATACATACATACATACATATATATATATATATATATATATATATATATATATGTAATGACCAGATTCAGTTTGTGAGCTCACAATGAGAGAAGTATAGAAATTGAGAGTAAGCATTTAGAAACACTGGTGCTGGTACTACAGGTGACTTCAAGGCCTGTGGTTCTTGCTGAGCATTTTCCACTCAAGGCTCCTGCTCAACCACTTGAGCCATCCCTCCATATATAGCTTTTAGCTGGTTAATTAAAGGTAAGAGTCTCTTGGATTTGTCTACCCAGGCTGGCTTCAAACCTCAAGCCTCAGATTTCAGCCTCCTATGTAGCCACAATTATAAATGTGATTGACCATTGCCAGCAAGCATTTAGAAGCTTTCACAGCAAGTTAATGTTGCTTTGTCAACCAACCACACAATCAGAGTAATTTAACAAAAATATCAGGTTAGTGTGGTCACACTTACCTATAGTCTTAGCTACCTGGAGGCTGGGGCAGGAGGATAACTTGGACCCAGGAGTTTGAGAACAGCCTGCATAACATAGTGAAATGATAAATAAATAAACAAAATCATGCTTCAAAGCTAGGTCCAGGTAGAAAGTCCGTGAGACTCCATGTCAGCAAAATGAGCTCCCTTCCCATAGTTTAGTCTACTCCTTCCTTTCTCCACAGCTTAGCATGCTCCCTTCCTAGGCAACACTAGGCCAGTGTAGCAAAGGCAGTAAATAATCAACTTCCAACCCCCTTTACCTTGGGATGGCACTTTTCTGCAGCAGCTACCACCATATAAAGCAACAAGAGCCACTTAGAGTGACCTTCAGGTCTGGGCAGTTGCAAGACCCTAATCTACTATTTGGATAGCAGCCATAAATCCCAGTCATCATGAGGAAGCCCCTGACCCACACATCCACACCAGGGTCTCCACCTCCTAGCCCCTTCTAGGTTATATAACCTTCTAGGTTATAACCAATATAATCTATACATAACCTATATAACCTATAACCTATATAACCTATAACCTCCTAGGTTATATAGGTCACCCCAGACAATAGCTGGTGCTTCTTCTCACTTCTCCCTTGTGAGAAGGATTCTTGCCACCCCCCCTTTCCTGGAAATAAATCTTTCTTTGTTCACTGTACCTGGATGTCTGCATGGTTCTCTGGCAAAGTCTAATCTTATTTAAGCTTACACTCCATTTTCAAGTAACCATGAAATAGCCAGAAATGGAGCTGGGAAGAACACCAGCCTTAACTGAGAAAGCAAAGAGGTAGGACCCAGGCCCTGAATTCAAGCCCAAGTATTGGTACACGTGCATGCACGCACACGCGCACACACACACACACACACACATTCATAGAATGCAGAACCTCCTTCATCC